GGATGGTAATGACCAGTTTAGCAATGGTGGAGGATCGGGATTGATGGGCAGCAGAGTTTCTAGGTGTGCTTGAAGCCACCCTGAACCTTGACCACGTATCCACCAACCGATCTCCAGAGTCTGGAGCTCCTGTTCTTATCCCACCTCACCTAGTGCCCTACAGAACACAGTGACAAGTTTATTTTAAGTAGGAAAAGACCAGTATATTGCCCCATTATGCAGGTGAACGGAATGTGGGCATACTCTGCTAACCTGTCTGAATCAAAAGATAGAACTGCCACAAGAAGGTCATCTACTGACCTGCATCCTAGAAAAAAGACAGCCACCTGCCTCTTCCCTAAGAAGCAGATCAGTAAATGACCTTATGGTAGTAAGGTGTAGGGTGATCTTTGACCTAGGCAGATTTGCCACCAAATCTAAGTCTCTAGGTGCTCCCAAACCTCTCCAGCTGTCCCTTAAATGGCTCTACTGAAGGAAGGAAAGAATCAATGGGTTGATTGTTCCTAGACAATACTACTTGTTTAGGTACATGCAACCCATTGATTCTTTCCTTAAGAAGGGCCATGCAGGAGAATGGGACATAGGCCCACCCCTTGGCTGGTTTTGCCTCTGAATCAAAAGATGGAACTGCAACAAGAAGGTCATCTACTGACCTGCATCCTAGAGAAAAGACAGCCACCTGCCTCTTCCCTAAGGTGCAGATCAGTAAATGACCTTTTGGCAGTAAGGTGTAAGGTGATCTTTGACCTGGGCAGATTGGCCACCAAACCTAAGTCTCTAGGTGCTCCCCAACCTCTCCAGCTGTCCCTTAAATGGCCCTTCTGAAGGAAGGAATCAATGGGTTGATTGTTCCTAGACAAAACCACTTGTCTAGGAACATGCAGCCCATTGATTCTTTCCTTCAGAAGGGCCATGGAGGAGAATGGGACATAGGCCCACCCCCTGGCTGGTTACGCCTCTGAATCAAAAGATGGAACTGCCACAAGAAGGTCATCTATTGTCTACCAAACATAATTCTGTTCTTGTGGCAGCAAGCTGGTCTTTGACCTGATCAGATTGGCCACCAAGCATAAGTCTGTAGGTGCTCTCCGACCCCTCCAGTCACTCCCTAAACGGCCCTTCGTAAGGAAAAATCAATGAGTTAATATTTTCCACCGCTGCTAAGATAAACTGATTATTGGGTGTCTTGTGGCAGTAAGGTGTAGGGTGATCTTTGCCCTAGCCAGATTGGCCACCAGACATAAATCTGTAGGTGCTCCTCAATCTCTCCAACCATCCCATAAGCGGCCCTTCTAAAGGAAAGAATCAATGGGTTGGATGTTCTTAGTCAATACAAATTGTCTAGGAACATGTAACCCACTGATTCTTTCCTTCAGAAGGGCCATGCAGGTGAATGGGACATAGGCCTACCCCCTCTGGCTGCTTACCCCTCTGAATCAAAAGATGGAACCACCACAAGAAGGTAATCTACTGACCTGCATCCTAGAGAAGAGACAGCCACCTGCCTCTTCTCTAGGGTGCAGGTCAGACTTATGTTTGATGGGCCACCAAATATAAGTCTGTAGTCTGACCTCTCCAGTCATCCCTTAAATGGCCCTTCTGAAGGAAAGAATCAATGGGTTGGATGTTCCTAGACAATACCAATTGTCTAGGAACTTGTAACTCATTGATTCTTTCCTTCAGAAGGGCCATGCAGGTAAATCAGATATAGGCCCACCCTCTGGGTACTTACCCCTCTGAATCAAAGGATGGAACTGCTCCCTGACTTCTCCAGCCATCCCTTAAATGGTTCTGAAGGAAAAAAAAATTAATGGGTTGCATGTTCCTAGACAACTGGTATTGTCCACTGCCCCCAAGATAAACTTTTGTTGGTGTGTCTAATGACGCGTCCTCTCCCTTCTCCATATGAAGAAACATATATTCAGTCAATCCGAATGTGCTTGTTTGTCAAAAGATCTTTCGGTAATCAGATCATGCCTGCATGTCTGACTTCCCTCTGTCCATAGGCAGCACTCAATGGCTACAGGCTTAGAAGATCAGGCAGTTCTAAATTGCACCCACATTTAATCCCGCCCAATAATTGCTGAGCCCGTCAACACACACCCCAATTTTTCACCATAAAATATATCCCAGGATCCCCAGAAACCTGGGAGGAACCTAACTGGATATTGTCCTCTAGGCTAGATGGACTTGTGTCCCACCACTCCCATCTTCTGCCAAGAATGTGATGGGGTATAGATGGGTCCAAATACTCCATGTGCCTAAAGCCTTAAACAATTTAGGAATCATTTATCTCACCTGAGCTCTATGAAGATTAAAAAATACTAAATAAAATTCTTATATTCTCTATTTATAGTTCACTCTGATGTGTAGGAGCTTCAGAAATCCATCTGTGGTCAAAAAATGCAGCTGAAACATATGAAAACATGAGTAGCCAACTTTTCCTTGTGGCACCGAATGGTATTGGTGTCATAGGAAGAAAAGTGAAGTTACAATTTATTAGCAGATTATATATACTGACGATTGTCCACATCACATGACTAATTTCCAGTGTGTTATAGAGGAAGCTCTTTTAATTGGATAGCTCCGCTCTCACCCTCCATATTGTACCTACATCGATTGAAACCCCCTCCCCCACTGCAACTTTCTGTCTCTTCCAGCAATGAAGGGGTTACTGGGTATTGGCTTGCCATGATTCCCATCCCAGTACTTGTCTCCATGATGACACACTGCCCAGATTCTCCACCAGTTGCACGGCTACAGAAAACTTCCACAGAATGTAAAGTTCCCAATTGTTTTTCTTAATTTCAGCTGAGAGTTGCATGTCACAGGCTGTCCCAGAGGAGGAATTCAATACACAGGGTCCCCCTCCCCCGGGAGGCCCTGTGCCCAATCGCAGACGTGACTTGATTCAGTATGTGCCAGCCTTTGTTGGCCAAGCCACAGCTTTTTCAGGCCTTTCATTGAAGCTTTGCCTGTTTGTCCATCCTTCTTCCCGGGGTTCCCTCCTCTTCTCCTCTTTGTTTCTCTTCTTGAAGCAGCCCTCAGTGTTCTCCTCAATCAAGTGTGGTCAGTCACCCTGGGGCGTTTGCCCTCTGCAATGGGCTCCAGCATGGAAGGGGCAACATTCACAATGACATCACCTAGACCTGTGCTGGTGGGAATGGTCGTTGGAAGTCATGGGAAAACACATGGCTTTTAAGCTTGGGTCCCCTCCTTGTTTATGGATCTTCTCGGGGAATCATGGTTGTTGTTCTTGAGACTACTTGTCAATTAGTCTCACAATGAGGGTAAACTGGAAGAGTCCATCAGACATTTCCCCCCCACCCCCGCAAAAGGCTGAAGGACCATATCGTTGTAGAAGGCATCTCAAAGGGTTCAATTAGAAAATGAGGGTAAACTGGAAGAATTTATCAGACACACAACCCCCGCGAAAGGCTGAAGGACCATATTGTCGTAAAAGACATCTTAAATGGTCCAGTTAGAGGGCATTTGCCCTCTGCTATTGGCTCCAACATGCAAGGGGCAACATTCACAATGACATCACCTAGACCTGTGTTGGTGGGAATGGTCACTGGAAGTCATGGGAAAACAAATGGCTTTTAGTTCGACTTTCCTCCTTGTTTACAGATCTTCTCTGGGAATAATGGTTCTTGTTCTTGGAATATTCTTGGCAATGTATCAAATTTATGGTTGGTTATCGTTTCAATATACTTTTTGATCTTTATTTTTCCCTTCAAAAACTTGAGTTATCTCAAAACAAGGCTAAGCTGGAAGATTCCATCAGACAAACCCCCTCTCACGAAAGTTGAAGGACCATATCGTTGTAGAAAACATCTCAAAGGGTTCAATTAGAAAATGAGGGTAAACTGGAAGAGTCCATCAGACACAAACCCCCCGGCCCGAAAGGCTGAAGGACCATATTGTAGAAGACATCTCAATGCGTTCAATTAGAAAATGAGGGTAAATTGGAAGAGTCCATCAGACACACCCCCCACCACTAAAGACTGAAGGACCATATTGTCGTAAAATACATCTTAAATGGTCCAGTTAGAGGGCATTTGCCCTCTGCCATTGGATCCAACATGCAAGGGGCAACATTCACAATGACATCACCTAGACGTGTGTTGGTGGGAATGGTCGCTGGAAGTCATGGGCTTTTAGTTCGACTTTACTCCTTGTTTACAGATCTTCTCTGGGAATAATGGCTCTTGTTCTTGGAATATTCTTGGCGATGTATCAAATTTTGGGTTGGTTGATGTTGTTTCAATATATTTTGTGATCTTTTTTTTTCCCTTCAAAAACTTGAGTTATCTCAAAACGAGGGTAAGCTGGAAGATTCCATCAGACAAACCCCCTCACAAAAGTTGAAGGACCATATCGTTGTAGAAGACATCTCAAAGGGTTCAATTAGAAAATGAGGGTAAATTGGAAGAGTGTATCAGACACAAACCCCCAGCCATGAAAAGTTGAAGGACCATATTGTTGTAGGAGGATCTTGAAGGGTCCAATTAAGAAACTGAGTCAAGTCCTTCCACGTACAAATGGCTTATGTGCAACATTTAGCTAACAGTATGAAAAATTCTAACTGCTTCATCCTCCTCTATATACAAGTAGACACTGATGATAACCCAACCTCCCGAACTATGTACAGCCCCTCGTCTCCTATGGGCTAATAAACAGACCAATGAGAGGGACCTGTCATCCGCGGAGTATGCCCCTCCCAGAGTCGGGCTGTGAGATATGTACCATTCTAACTAGCAGCTGGATAAGAACCTTCGCCCACCCCAACAGTGGTCGAAAAAGGTGTAGTCCCCCATCTGGACACCCAATATTAACCCCCCCCTCCCCCTCCCAGTGAAGATAAATAGGAACACATGACAGGTCCTCATCCTGATGTTCACTGAAGAGCCAGCAGCATTGTCAGTTTGCATTGTTAAGTCCTGGGGTGATGGGGGAGACGGGGGAGGGGGGTTTGCGGTAGAAGGTTTCCGGTGGGATTAGTGGCTGCCGCTACTTTTGCTGCTCCCGGTTGCCCAATCAATGATGATGAAACTAAGACTCATGATCATGAAGAGAACGCCCAACCCGGCAAAGCAAGCGGCCTGCAAAAAAAAAAATACAGAACATGATTTTATAGGATGAAGAAAGTTTTCCAAAATTTTGAAAATTGTGAAATTTCCCAATTTTGGGGAAGGTGAAACGAAGGCGGCTTTTGATGGTTTTTAACCCCTTCTGGCCGAACATGCACCAAGGTGGGTCTTATTCTGCGCTGCACACAGAATAAAAAAAAATACTTGTTTAAAAATATATTCTTCAGATTTTTTTTTACATATAAAAAAGTCACTTTAACATATATTTGTAAATGCCTTCCAAAAATGTAGATTTGTATTTTTAAAGACATGTATATTTGAAAATGTTTTTTTATGAAGAATATTTTTAAAAATACATTTCAAATATACTGTATGTCTTTAAAAATACAAATTACATTTTTGGAAGGCATTTACAAATATATGAAGACATACAGTATTTTGAAATGTATTTTTAAAAATACATTTAAAAAAAAACATTTTCAAATATACTGTATGTCTTTAAAAATACAAATTACATTTTTGGAAGGCATTTACAATTATAGGTTAAAGTGACTTTTTTACACGTAAAAAAAAATCTGAAGAATATATATTAAAGAAATAAGTTTAAAAATATATTCTTCAGATTTTTTTTTAACCTATAAAAGTCATTTTAACATATATTTTTACATATATTTGCAAATACATTCCAAAAATGTAGATTTGTATTTTTAAAGACATGCAGTATATTTGAAAATGTATTTTTTTAAATATTTTTCATATAAATACATTTTCAAATATACTGTATGTCTTTAAAAATACAAATCTACATTTTTGGAATGCATTTACAAATATATGTTAAAATGACTTTTTCATATGTTAAAAAAAAATCTGAAGAATATATTTTTAAACGTGTATTTTTTTTTTATATATTCTTCAGATTTTTTTTAACATATAAAAAAGTCACTTTAACATATATTTGTAAATGCATTTCAAAAATGTAGATTTGTATTTTAAAGACATACAGTATATTTGAAATGTATTTATATGAAACATATTTTTAAAAATACATTTTAAACATACTGTATGCCTTTAAAAATAAAAATCTACATTTTTGGAATGCATTTACAAATATATGTAAAAACATATGTTAAAATTATTTTTTTATATGTTAAAAAAAATCTGAAGAATATATTTTTAAAAAATACATGTTTAAAAAAATATTTTTTTTATAATAAACCTCCAAAATCGCATCCTGTGTGCTGCTTATTTTGGTCTCTTACCAGTATCTTCGGGGGGGGACTTCATGGGCTCCCTGTCTTTGGGCATGATCCGGATATAGAAGATGGCGGGAAAGATGAAGATCAGACACGGAGCGGACGTGGCACCTGGGGGGACACAAATAGCGGGAGACGGTGACGTTCTCCAGGAGCAGAACTCAAGGATTTAAAATGTATTTTCAAAAATATTTTTCTTATAAATACATTTTAAAATATACTGTATGTCTTTAAAAATACAAATCTACATTTTTGGAATGCATTTATAAATATATGTAAAAATATATGTTAAAATGACTTTTTTATATGTTAAAAAAAAACTGAAGAATATATTTTTAAACATGTATTTTTTTTTATATATTCTTCAGATTTTTTTTAACATATAAAAAAGTCACTTTAACATATATTTGTAAATGCATTCCAAAAATTTTTGAAATGCACTTACAAGTATATGTAAAAATATGTTAAAATGAATTTTTTTATGTTAAAAAAATCTGAATAATATATTTTAAAAAAAATACATGTTTAAAAATAAATTTTTTTAAAATATATATTCTTCAGATTTTTTTTTTTAAACATATAAAAAAGTCATTTTAACATATATTTTTACATATATTTGTAAGTGCATTTCAAACATTTTTGGAATGCATTTACAAATATATGTTAAAGTGACTTTTTTAAATGTTAAAAAAAATCTGAAGAATATATTTTTAAACATGTATTTTTTTTTTATATATTCTTCAGATTTTTTTTTAACATTTAAAAAAGTCACTTTAACATATATTTGTAAATGCATTCCAAAAATGTTTGAAATGCACTTACAAATATATGTAAAAATATATGTTAAAATGACTTTTTTATATGTTTAAAAAAAAAATCTGAAGAATATATTTTAAAAACATTTATTTTTAAACATGTATTTTTTTTAAAATATATTATTCAGATTTTTTTAACATAAAAAAATTCATTTTAACATATTTTTACATATACTTGTAAGTGCATTTCAAAAATTTTTGGAATGCATTTACAAATATATGTTAAAGTGACTTTCTTATATGTTAAAAAAAATCTCAAGAATATATAAAAAAAAATACATTTTTAAAAATATATTCTTCAGATTTTTTTTAACATATAAAAAAAGTCATTTTAACATATATTTTTACATATATTTGTAAATGAATTCCAAAAATGTAGATTTGTATTTTTAAAGACATACAGTATATCTGAAATGTATTTTTTAACATATTTTTCATATATTGTCTCAGTGTTTCTCAGATTCTGGGAGCGACGCCGGATATCGGGACTCTCATTACAAACCAGAGGGAAAGTTATCAATAACTCACCAATAATGCCGAATATTCCCAGGATGTTCGGGGCAAAAATAACCAAGAGGTTGATTAACGTCAGCAGCACCATGGCGATGATGACATGGCGGATCCAGCTGAACTCCTTGTTCTGGAACAGCATATGCTGGATGGCGCGCCGCACCTAACGGAGAAGACAGAGAAGTCGTGTGGCCGCATCTAATGAGGAGCGCGAGCGGGCAAAGGTGAGCGCAATTAGTACGCACGCTGCACAATGCCGCTACACCGACTATCTAGAAGTCTATAATCATAGATATATTTATTTATTAATACATTAATTACTATTAAATACAATCATTAATAACCTAATATATTCCAAAGAGTAGTAATAAAGCTATAATAAATATATATTACAACATTATATTTGCTGTATATATCTACTGTATACATGTATAATAAAAATACACTTATATATATATATATACACACACAGGTGAAACTCGAAAAATGAGAATATGGTGCAAAAGTTCATTTATTTCAGTGCAGCAACTTAAAAGGTGACACTAATATATGAGACTCATTACATGCAAAGCAAGATAGTTCAAGCCGTGATTTGTCATCATTGTGATGATTATGGCTTACAGCTCATGAAAACCCCAAATCCACAATCTCAGAAAATGAGAATATTCCATGCAATCACTAAAACAAGGATTGTACATAGAACAATATCAGACCTCTGAAAAGTAGAAGCATGCTGCATATGTACTCAGTACTTGGTTTGGGCCCATTTTGCAGCAATTACTGCCTCAATGCGGCGTGGCATGGAAGCTATCAGCCTGTGGCACTGCTGAGGTGTTATGGAAGACCAGGATGCTTCAATAGCGGCCTTCAGCTCTTCTGCATTGTTCGGTCTCATGTCTCTCATCTTTCTCTTGGCAATGCCCTATAGATTCTCTATGGGGTTCAGGTCAGGCGAGTTTGCTGGCCAATCAAGCACAGTAATCCCACGGTCGTTGAACCAGGTTTTGGTGCTTTTGGCAGTGTGGGCGGAGCCAAGTCCTGCTGGAAAATGAAGTCAGCATCCCCATAAAGCTTGTCTGCGGAAGGAAGCATGAAGTGCTCCAAAATCTCCTGGTAGACGGCTGCGGTGACCCTGGACTTAATGAAGCACAGTGAACCAACACCAGCAGATGACACGGCTCCCCAAATCAACACAGACTGTGGAAACTTCACACTGGACTTCAAGCATCTTGCAGTGTGTGCCTCTCCATTCTTCCTCCATACTCGGGGTCCTTAGGCCTCTCCATTCTTCCTCCATACTCGGGGTCCTTAGGCCTCTCCATTCTTCCTCCATACTCGGGGTCCTTAGGCCTCTCCATTCTTCCTCCATACTCGGGGTCCTTGGGCCTCTCCATTCTTCCTCCATACTCGGGGTCCTTGGCCTCTCTATTCTTCCTCCATACTCGGGGTCCTTGGGCCTCTCCATTCTTCCTCCATACTCGGGGTCCTTGGGCCTCTCCATTCTTCCTCCATACTCAGGGTCCTTGGGCCTCTCCATTCCTCCTCCATACTCGGGGTCCTTGGGCCTCTCCATTCTTCCTCCATACTCCCAATCCTTGTGCCTCTCCATTCTTCCTCCATACTCGGGGTCCTTGTGCCTCTCCATTCTTCCTCCATACTCGGGGGTCCTTGGGCCTCTCCATTCTTCCTCCATACTCGGGGTCCTTGGGCCTCTCCATTCTTCCTCCATACTCGGGTCCTTGTGCCTCTCCATTCTTCCTCCATACTCCCAATCCTTGTGCCTCTCCATTCTTCCTCCATACTCGGGGTCCTTGTGCCTCTCCATTCTTCCTCCATACTCGGGGTCCTTGGGCCTCTCCATTCTTCCTCCATACTCGGGGTCTTTGTGCCTCTCCATTCTTCCTCCATACTCGGGGGTCCTTGGGCCTCTCCATTCTTCCTCCATACTCAGGGTCCTTGTGCCTCTCCATTCTTCCTCCATACTCAGGGTCCTTGTGCCTCTCTATTCTTCCTCCATGCTCGGGGTCCTTGGGCCTCTCCATTCTTCCTCCATACTCGGGGTCCTTGATTTCCAAATGAGATGCAAAAGTTGCTCTCATCAGAAAAGAGGACTTTGGACCACTGAGCAGCAGACCAGGTCTGTTTTTCTTTAGCCCAGGTAAGACGCTTCTGACGTTTGTTGTTCAGGAGAGGCTTGACAAGAGGAATACGACATTTGAAGCCCATGTCCAGGATCCGTCTGTGTGTGGTGGCTCTTGATGCACTGACTCCAGCCTCAGTCCACTCCTTGTGAAAGTCCCCAACACTTTTGAATGGCCTTTTCCTGACAATCCTCTTCAGGCTGCGGTCATCCCTGCTGCTTGTGCACCTTTTTCTTCCACACTTTTCCCTTCCACATAACTTTCTATTAATGTGCTTTGATACAGCACTTTGGGAACATCCAACTTCTTTTGCAATTACCTTTTGAGGCTTTCCCTCCTTATGGAGGGTGTCAATGATGGTGTCAGGTCAGCAGTCCTTCCCATGATTGTGATTCCTACTGAACCAGACTGAGAGACCATTTAAAGGCTCAGGAACCCTTTGCAGGTGTTATGGCTGAATGAGCTGATTAGAGTGGGACACTTTGAGCCGAGAATATTCCACCTTTTCACAATATTCTCATTTCCTGAGATTGTGGATTTGGGGTTTTCATGAGCTGTAAGCCATAATCATCACAATGATGACAAATCACGGCTTGAACTATCTTGCTTTGCATGTAATGAGTCTCATATATTAGTTTCACCTTTTAAGTTGCTGCACTGAAATAAATGAACTTTTGCACCAGATTCTCATTTTTTTGAGTTTCACCTGTATATACAACACATACAATCATTAATTAATCTAAAATAGTAGTTATTAAAATATAATAAATATATATTCTAAAATTATATTTACTGTATGTATATTACAAATATGTATCAATATTAAACACAATCTTTAATACAGTTAACATATCAGTTATTAAAATATAATAAATATACATTCAATTATTTTAAAATATAATTACATTTATATTTTTTAATATACAAAAAAATTATATATATATAGAGAGAGAATAATAGAATATTTAGTGCATGTAATATAATAGTAATAAAATATGATAAATGTATACAAATTAATATTCAGAAATAATTAAAATGATATTTTTTATTTGTTAAAGGATCTATATTGATATATACTTTTATAATTCTCTGTATTTCATCTATAAAACAGAGCCTATGTAACCCTTCGCATCCCATGAGTACATAACATAGCATGGCCCATTGAAGAGAACCTGTCATCAGCTCTGCAAGTCCATGCCTGCCCAGTAATGAGTTATTGTTACTCTTCCTGCTATTTATTACTCTGGGCCGTTATTCTAACATGTTGCAGCCACTGGGGGTATAATATGGGCAAGGCTTTAGCAAGTAGCCAGATGTGTAAATGCTTGCAGGGGGGCACAGACAGGGGCGGACTGACAACTCATGGGGCCCCCAGGCAATAGGGGATCATGGGGCCCATGTGTCCTTGCCCAAACTCAAAAAAGCCTATGAAAAAGGTACCAGGGGCATCTCATGGGGCCCCCTACTGACCCTGGACCCTCGGGCAGTGCCCGAGTTTCCAAATAGTCAGTCCGCCTCTGGGCACAGAGAAGACTAATGCAGGCCATAGACGGTTCGTTTATCGGCCTATTTTCGCACAGTTAGTTGGGCGATGGCATTGGCCGATTTTCGCGGTTCCTCCTCATTTCTTTTATTGGTCATGCTGGAAAATTTGTGAAAAACGGCCGATTTTCGCAATCATTGGTGGCAACATCGGTTTACAGAACGAACGATGTTTCGTTTTTAGGACGAAAAATCGGCTGATAAACGAACCGTCTATGGCCTGCATTAGGAGCCAGATAGAGGCAGGGAGGTGGAACAGGATGCTGCAGAGCTGCACACTCTGAATAGCGCCTCCTACCTCCATCATCGGTGTAAATGGAGAGAATTGTGTCGTTTTCGGCAGGTAAAAGTGTATATGTACACGCAGGGGCGGACTGACAACTCATGGGGCCCCCGGGCAATAGGGGATCATGGGGCCCCTGTGTCCTTGCCCAAACTTGAAAAGGTACCAGGGGCATCTCATGGGGCCCCCTACTGACCCCGGGCCCTCTGGCAGTGCCGAGTTTCCAAATGGTCAGTCCGCCCCTGTGAACACATATTTATACGTGTAGAGTGTCAGCTCCTACGCCCCCCTGAGCAGCCGACTTACCGGGAATAGGACGATGGGGACAGTGAGGGTGACGGCGGTGAGCACAGCGACTCGCACACACAGGATCAGGATATCGAAGGTGTCCACCGCGCTGTACGTGTGCAGGAGCTCCGACTCCACTTGGCCTGGAAGAGACGAGACAACGCATGAGCCAGGGAGGAGGGGTGAAGCCGATATGTCCATCATCTATCTATATACAGTGTATATATATATGTGTATATATATATATATATATATACTGTACATGTCACATGTGACAACATTTACTGAGAGTACTGGAGTCTCTCTGTGTTGTTTTGTTTGAATGGAACTTGTGAAACATCATAGACACCTGGAATGTGGAAGAATTGGATGCTACTAGGCTATTTTCACTCCAGGTCGAATGTTATTCATTCATACAGAATGAAGTGAATCAGGAAAATACTGTATTTTGGCCATTAGGGGGAGCTGGTGACCCTAGGTAATACATACTTATTTACTAAGCTTCTCAGCTCCATCTAGTGGTCATAATGAGTTATTTTCCAGATTCAGTTTATAAAGAACTTTCGACCTGGAGAGAAACATTCCGTCTTTGCCCCCATTCGCACAGAAGGAATAGACATGGAGAATACCGCATTATGGCCATTAGGTGGAGCTGATGATCATAGCTAATACATCTTTATTATGGTTGTCAGTCCCATCTAGTGGCCATAATAGGCATTTTCCTGATTTTTCTCTATAAAGAACATTCAACCTGGAGAGAAAATATCCTAATAACATTCAGTTTTGCCTGAGGAATATACATAGAAAATACTTTATTATTGAGCTGATGATCATAGGTAATAAATGCTTATTTGCTATGCTTGCCAGCTCTATCTAGTGGCCATAATAGGTATTTTCCTGGTTCACTCTATGAAGAACATTCGACCTGGAGGGAAAATTTTATTGTGCCCCAGTACTCCATTATGACCAGTAGATGGAGCTGATGATCATAGGAAGTAAATAGCTATTTAGCGTGATCGTCAGCACCATCTAGTGACTTACTCTATAAAGAACATTCGACCTGGAGAGAAAATAGCCTAATAACATTCGATTACGCCTCCATTTGCACAGAAGGAGTAGACATGGAGAATACTGCATTATGGCCATTAGGTGGAGCTGATGATCATAGCTAATACATCTTTATTATGGTTGTCTGTCCCATCTAATGGCCATAATGAGCATTTTCCGGATTTTTCTCTATAAAGAACATTCGACCTGGAGAGAAATTATACACACATAATGAACCTATACCGAAAATACTCCATTATGACCTCCATTATGATGGAGCTAATGATAATAGGAAGTAAATAGCTATTTAGTGTGATCGTCAGCACTATCTAGTGACTTACGCTATAAAGAATATTCGACCTGGAGAGAAAATAGCCTAATAACATTCGATTGTGGCCCCCATATGCACAGAATGAACCTTGTACAGAAAGTACTGCATTATGACCATTAGATGGAGCTGACGGTCATAGGAAATAAATATCTAGTTATTATGATCATCAGCTTCATCTAGCAATTTACTCTATGAAGAACATTCGACCTGAAGGGAAAATAGGCTGATACAAATCTATTGTCCCCCTGTTATGGCCGTTAGGAGGAGCTGATGGTCATAGGTAATAAATATTTATTTGTTATGGTTATCAGCTCTATCTGGTGGCCATAATGTGGCGTTTTCCTGATTCACTCTATGAAGAACATTCAACTTGGAGAGAAAATAGCCTAATAACATTCGATTGTGGCCCCCTATACGCACAGAATGAACCTATACAGAAAATACTGCATTATGGCCATTAGATGGAGCTGACGGTCATAGGAAATAAATAGCTATTTACTGTGATCGTTATGATCCAGTTATTTACTCTATAAAGAACATTCAACCTGGAGAGAAAATAGCCTAATAACATTCGATTACGCCTCCATTCGCACAGAAGGAGTAGACATGGAGAATACTGCATTATGGCCATTAGTTGGAGCTGAGGATCATAGCTAATACATCTTTATTATGGTTGTCTGTCCCATCTAATGGCCATAATAGGCATTTTCCTGATTTTTCTCTATAAAGAACATTCGACCTGGAGAGAAAACAGCCTAATAACATTTGATTGTGGCCCCCCTTACGCACAGAATGAACCTATACAAAAAATACTGCATTATGGCCATTAGATGGAGCTGATCATCATAGGAAATAAATAGCTATTTACTGTGATCGTTATGATCCAGTTATTTACTCTATAATGAACATTTGACCTGGAGAGAAAGGAGCCTAATGACATTTGTGTGTGCCCCCCATACACACAGAATGAACATATACGAAAAATAAAGAATTATGACCATTAGATGGAGCTGGTGACCATAGGAAATGAATACCTAGTTACTATGATCGTCAACTTTCTCCAGCAGTTTACTCTATGAAGAACATTCGACCTGGAGAGGAAATAGCCTAATGACATTTGTGTGTGCCCCCCATACACACAGAATGAACATATACAGAAAGTACTGCATTATGGCCATTAGATGATCATGAAAAATAAATAGTTATTTACTGTGATTGTCAGCACCATCCAGTGATTTACTCTATAAAGAACATTCGACCTGGTGAGAAAATAGCCTAACGACATTCGATTCTGCCCCCTATAGGCGAAGAATGAACATATACAGAAAATACTGCATTATGGCCATTAGATGGAGCTGGTGACCATAGGAAATAAGTCCCTAGTTACTATGATCGTCATCTCCATCTACTCTGCGGAGAACATTCGACCTGGAAGGAGAATAGACTAATAACATTGAATTTTGTACAGAACGAATGTCAATGCAGTTCTATGAGACGAAGGTTGTGATTTTTTTTTTTGCACTGCTACATATGAATGGTTTTCTATACATTGTTTCTTGTATATAATCAGGAACAGAGAGGTCGCACTGATCATCTCTCGGTGCCGATTGCATTGGGCAGAACAGATAGTGTTGGGGGTTGCCGCATCTGTATGGGGAGAAACGATGGAAGATGGAGAGGAGACAAGACTCCAGGGAGGAAACAAAGCACCCGGATAAAAATAAACGTAGATAATGACTAAACGGTGCTATTAAAGTGACAATGGGCAGGCCGCTGATCCCAGACACGTCTCCCGGGATGACACGGACCCACACCCCCACCCTGCATGACACGGACCCCACCCCCACCCTGCGGGCTCACGCTGCACAACCTACCATAGAAGGTGAGGTATCCGAAGAGGGCGGCCAGGAAATACATACAGTACATGACGGCAATGGAGATATTAGACACGCTTTGCATCTTCTTCTTCGAGGCGCTGCGGGCACAGAGGACAACAATGATCAGCACAGACAAAATGCCAGCGGTCTGCACATCCATCCCAGCATGCCCTACTACCGCCGAGGAACTGCAAGTCCCAGCATGCCTACACTTGCAGATTAGCATAACCCCCCAACAATGTTTGCCACTACATACTGCTCACTGACCACCCTGCCACTATATACTGCTCACTGACCACCCTGCCACTACATACTACTCACTGACTGCTCACCGCCCTGCCACTACATACTGCTCACTGACCTCCCTGCCACTACATACTGCCCTGCCACTACATACTGCTCACTGACTGCCCTGCCACTACATACTGCTCACTGACCGCCCTGCCACTACATACTGCTCACTGACCGCCCTGCCACTACATACTGCTCACTGATTGCCTGCCACTACATACTGTTCACTGACCGCCCTGCCACTACATACTGCTCACTGACTGCCCTGCCACAACATACGGCTCACTGACCGTGCCACTACCTGCCACAACATAGGGCTCACTGGCACCCTGCCACTACATACTGTTCACTGACCTCCCTGCCCACCCTGCCACTACATACTGCTCACTGCCTGCCCTGCCACAACATAGGGCTCACTGGCACCCTGCCACTACATACTGCTCACTGACCGCCGTGCCACAACATACTGTTCACTGACCGCCCTGCCACAACATACGGCTCACTGACGCCCTGCCACTACATACTACTCACTGACCGCCCTGCCACTACATACTGCTCACTGCCTGCCCTGCCACAACATACGGCTCACTGGCGCCCTGCCACTACATACTGTTCACTGACCGCCCTGCCACTACATACTGTTCACTGACCGCCCTGCCACAACATACTGCTCACTGACCGCCCTGCCACAACATACTACTCACTGACCGCCCTGCCACAACATATGGCTCACTGACGCCCTGCCACTACATATTGGTCACTGACCGCCCTGCCACTACATACTGTTCACTGACCGCCCTGCCACAACATACTGCTCACTGACCGCCCTGCCACAACATACTACTCACTGACCGCCCTGCCACAACATATGGCTCACTGACGCCCTGCCACTACATATTGGTCACTGACCGCCCTGCCACTACATACTGCTCACTGACCGCCCTGCCACTACATACTGCTCACTGACCGCCCTGCCACTACATACTGCTCACTGATTGCCTGTCACTACATACTGTTCACTGACCGCCCTGCCACAACATATGGCTCACTGACCGCCCTGCCACTACATACTGCTCACTGATTGCCTGCCACTACATACTGCTCACTGACCGCCCTGCCACTACATATGGCTCACTGACTGCTCTGTCACCACATGCTGCTCACTGACCATCCTTCCACTACATACTGTTCACTGACCGCCCTGCCACTACATACTGTTCACTGACCGCCCTGCCACAACATATGGCTCACTGACCGCCCTGCCACTACATACTGATCACTGACCGTCCTGCCACTACATACTGCTCACTGACCGCCCTGCCACAGTACATACTGCTCACTGACCGCTCTGCCACTACATACTGCTCACTGACCGCTCTGCCACTACATGGTGCTCACTGACCGCTCTGCCACTACATGCTGCTCACTGACCGCCCTGCCACTACATACAGCTTGCTGACCGCCCTGCCACTACATACAGCTTGCTGACCGCCTCACCCTGCCACTACATACTGATCACTGACCGCCCTGCCACTACATACTGATCACTGACTGCCCTGCCAGTACATACTGCTCACTGACCGCTCTGCCACTACATACTGCTCACTGACCGCCCTGTCCACTACATGCTGCTCAGTTGCTGGATTTTGTTTGATCGAGAATGGACACGGTTCACTTTTCCCTGCCTGTTCATCCAGAGATGACACTGACAGTACTGATGAGACATCACAGGTATGTGTATATACTCACTCCTTCAGCTCAGTGTATATAGGAAGGACCTCCGGGTGACAGACAAAGGCAAATGCCATGATGGGAATAGTGTAGGCCGTCTGCAGAGAGGGGGAGGGGGACATCGTCATACAAAACATACACTGGACACATACAATAAACAAGCATGTAAAGGTACAGGTAAGAAGTGACATAATGTGTGCGTTGGCAGGCACTGCAGTCCGGCATTCACATTATTGGCCTTCTTTCTCATTAATCTAGACCGGCTTCCCTTTTGGTGACTACAGTGGATCATTCCCTGAGTAATGTGTATTGAAACAGCCACATAGGAAGCCCATGGGACAGGGTGACAACACCTTTGCAAAGTTGGGAGATGGGAGCAGAGTGTTGTCACTGAAACAGGAAGTGCAGAAACAAGGCTCTTCATGGCAGGATCACCAGGGATTATAATAATGACAACTGCAGATTTATAAGGATTGTAAACAATGAACATGTTACAGTTTAAATGAGATTTCAGAGGTCGTGTTTACAGCTTCTACTGGCAGAAAATGTGTTTCTTGTAGAGTTCGGTCTCAATATTTAACCACTTCCAGTCCGGACACTTCCCCCCCTTCCAGTCCGGACACTTTCCCCCCCTTCCAGTCCGGACACTTTGCCCCCCCCTTCCAGTCCGGACACTCCCCCCCCTTCCAGTCCGGACACTTTCACCCCCTTCCAGTCCGGACACTTTCCCCCCCCCCTTCCAGTCCGGACACTCCCCCCCCTTCCAGTCCGGACACTTTCACCCCCTTCCAGTCCGGACACTTTCCCCCCCTTCCAGTCCGGACACTTTCCCCCCCCTTCCAGTCCGGACACTTTCCCCCCCCTTCCAGTCCGGACACTCCCCCCCCTTCCAGTCCGGACACTTCCCCCCCCCCCTTCCAGTCCGGACACTCCCCCCCCCTTCCAGTCCGGACACTTTCACCCCCTTCCAGTCCTGGACACTCCCCCTCCCTTCCAGTCCGGACACTTTCACCCCCTTCCAGTCCGGATACTTCCCCCTCCCTTCCAGTCCGGACACTTTCACCCCCTTCTAGTCCGGACACTCCCCCCCCCTTCCAGTCCGGACACTTTCCCCCCCTTCCAGTCCGGACACTTTCCCCCTACCTTCCAGTCCGGACGCTTTCCCCCCTTCCAGTCTGGACACTTTCACCCCCTTCCAGTCCGGACACTTTCCCCCCCCTTCCAGTCCGGACACTTTTTTCCCCCCTTCCAGTCCGGACACTTTCCCCCCTTCCTGTCCCAGGCCAATTTTCAGCTTTCAGTGCTATCACACTTTGAATGACAATTGCGCGGTCATGCAACACTGTACCCATATGAATTTTTTTGTATTTTTTTGAGACAGATAAAAGCTTTATTTTGGTGGTATTTATTCACCACTGGGATTTTTATTTTTTTTTTCTATATAAATGATAAGGTCCATAAATTTTGAAAAAAAGTGTTTTTTTCTTATACAATTTTGCAAATAAATAATATTTCATCATAAATCTTGGCTAAAATGTATTCAGTTATCTTTTCAGTAAAAAAAAAATAACTCAAATTAGTTTATAACCAAAAATTATAATTTTTTAAATTTTTTTTTTTATATTTTTATTATTTTTTTATATTATTTTTTTTTTTACATACTGTCACCCTAGCAGTACAGTGTCACCATAGTGACACTGTACTACTTGTGGGGGGGTGATGAAGATTTTTTTTTTACACTGATTGCTTTCACACCCATAAAGGCTGTAAAAGCAATCATTTCTCCTTCTTTCTGGCTGTATTCTTGCAGCCATTGAGAAATACTGTGAGAGCTGTGATTGGTCACAGCTTGTTACATGGCATAATGCTGTTGTGAATAGCCCCGTACCATGTGACCTCTGTGATCATTCACAGATTTCACACGTGGTAAGCAATGATGTCAGAAGTGACATCTTCCTTACTACTCTGCATGTGATCACTGATTGGCCAATCAGTGATCACATGATCGGGACCCTCGCACAGAGGTCCCATGCAACGATCGGTGTTCCACTGTGTCCGGAGGACACAGCGGGCTCCGGATCGCGGTGCTGCGTGCTCTCAGGGAGTGTGCACAAGCAGGGGGCGGGGAGGCCGTTTATATACATAGGCTGGACAGGAAGTGGTTAAAAGACGGGAAGTTTTCCTGGAAAAATTTGTGGTGGAGATTTCACAAAGTCAAAGTCTTCCATGTAGAAATGTTGAGCTGCGGAGCGGCGTCTGCGGTGGTTACAATGAATAAACGGTGGAGTGAATACATTGCGGAAGTCATGTGACCATACCTGGGAGTTCAGGGCGAACAGTTTGGGGGGGCGCACTGCCCCGCGTCGGACTCCACGGTGGCGTGCCCGTTCTGATACGCGTGCCCATAGGGCAGGCTGAAGTTTTCGGCCATAGTCTGGTTGAGGCTGCCCAGCGGCAGAGGGCACGGGATCTGAAACTTTTTATAAATCACCTGAAAGTGAAGCAGAGACAGCAGATTGAATTTAGAACGCCGAATGTGAAGGTCGCTTTTTTTTTTTTTCTGAACCACAAGTCCCAGCATGCTGCGGCCCTGCAGAGCTAAGGAATGCAAACAACGCCACAAAGCGTTCATTCTTCACTTTTTCAGAAAAAAAAAAAAATGAAAAGGTGAAGGAACACCCCACACCCACCTCACCCCCTCACGCACCCGGTCCACGCTGGGTGACGCGATAGATCGATAGATAGATAGATAGAGAACGATAGACAGACAGACGGACGGACAGACAGACAGACAGATATGGGAGGGAGGGAGGGATGGATGGATGGATGGATGGATGGATGATAGATAGATAGATAGATAGATAGATAGATAGATAGATAGATAGATAGACAGATAGATAGATAGATATGGGAGGGAGGGAGGGAGGGATGGATGGATGGATAGATAGGATGGATGGATAGATAGATGATAGATAGATAGATAGATAGATAGATAGATAGTTGGTAGATAGATATGGGAGGGAGGGATGGATGGATGGATGGATGGATAGATAGATAGATAGATAGATAGATAGAGATAGATAGATAGATAGATAGATAGATAGATAGATAGATAGATAGATAGATAGATTAGATAGATAGATAGATAGATATGGGAGGGAGGGAGGGAGGGAGGGATGGATGGATGGATAGATAGATAATAGATAGATGGATAGATATGGGAGGGAGGGAGGGATAGATAGATAGATGGATGGATGGATGGATGGATGGATAGATATACTGTACAGATCACGGTGATATAATGTACTATGTAGCGGTCACTTACCGAGCACAGAAAGAACACCATACAGCTCAGGGAGAACCCGCTGGCGTAGCCCAAATACCCTGTACAGAGGAAACACAAACATGTCAGGTATTCTGATAGCACAGTCACACTTCATATCCTGCACTGATGAAATCTCATCGTACCAAACAGTTGTGTGGCAGTTGGATAAATGGCTGTATGCTGCGTCTGTGCTGGGCAACGGTCAGAGTCACTTTGTAGCAGCTATAAATCTCTCCACTCATTTCTATGGTGATTCTGTAGCTTTAAATGCCATTAAAAAGTCGCTCAGTGACTGAGCCACAAATCGCAGTAAGGCCGCGACACAGATCATGATTGGCTGCAATCACCGTGACACAGACCATGATTGGCTGAAATCACCATGACACTGACCATGATTGGCTGCAATCACCATGACACACACTGACCGTGATTGGCTGCAATTGCCTTAACACAGATCATGATTGGCTGCAATCGCCGTGACACAGACCATGATTGGCTGCAATCGCCGTGACACAGACCATGATTGGCTGCAATTACTGTGTCACAGAGACCATGAATGGCTGCAATCACCGTGACACAGACCATGACTGATTGCAATTGCCATGAAACAGACCATGATTGGCTGAAATCGCCGTGACACAGACCATGTATTGGCTGCAATTGCCATGAAACAGACCATGAATGATTGGCTGCAATTGCCCTAACACAGACCATGATTGGCTGCAAACGCCGTGACACAGACCATGATTGGCTGCAATTACTGTGACACAGACCATGATTAACTGAAATCACCGTGACACAGACCATGATTGGCTGCAATCACCGTGACACTGACCATGTTTGGCTGCAATTACCGGGACACAAACCATGACTGGCTGCAATTGCCGTGACACAGACCATGATTGGCAATTACGTTAACACAAACCATGATGGCTGCAATTGCCGTGACACAGACCATGATTGGCTGCAATTACGTTAACACAAACCATGATTGGCTGCAATTGCCGTGACACAGACCAGGATTGGCTGCAACTGATTCCTAGCAACAAATTGCAGTTCTGTGGCTGCCACAAATCACTGCTACAAAACCACGCATGTAATGCGGCCCCAAAACCCAACAAGAACATTTTATTCTGATGCTGACTCTCACCATCTTCAGTTCTGAGGACAGAGGGCGGAATCTTCACTGGGGATTTGCGTTTCTTATTATTGGATCCATGTTACTGAGACATGATGAACTTTTGATTTCTTGACTTTAATATAGACATTATTTATTGATGTCTCTCAAGTATTATCTCCATGTATTGCCCAACAGCCAATCAGCTTCAAGCATTAATTTTCCAGTTCAGGATTGAACCTGATTTGGTGGCAGAGTCACAGAGGTTGCAGCCTGCAGGTCACATGACCAAATGACGGCACCAGTCATCATCTGATAGCAGGTGTGTTATATGTGCTGGAAGGGGAACCCAGACCACCTGGAGGTTTCACAGACCACCTGGAGGGTTGACAGACCACTTGGAGGGAGCTCAGCATTTAATATTAAGTGCTATTTACACTTCTGCAGTGAAATAACTCAGAGGTGCAAATAAATGTAATTAAGGGAACAGCAATGGGGTCCAAATAGCGTCCAGGTGAAGCATTTGCATTGGGGCCCCTAGGGTGCACAGACCACCTAGAGGGTTCACAGACCCCCTGGAGGGAACTCAGCATTCTGCATGAAGAACTATTTACATTCCTGCAGTGAAATTACTCAGAGGTGCAACTAACTATAATTAAGGAAGCAGCAATGGAGTGCAAACAGAGCCCAGGTGAAGCATCTGCACTAGGACCCCTAGGGTGCACAAGACCACCTAGAGGTTTCACAGACCACCTACAGGGAGCTCAGCATTCTGCATGAAGAGCTATTTACATTCCTGCAGTACAATAACTCAGAGGTGCAAATACATGTAATTAAGGGAACTGCAATGGGGTCCAAATAGCTGTGTCATATGTGCTGTAAATGGCACACAGACCACCTGGATGGTTCATAGTCCACCTAGAAAGAGGTCAGCATTCTGCATAAAGGGCTACTTACACTGCTGCAGTGAAATAATTCAGAGGTGGAACTAAATGTAACTAAGGGAACAGCAATGGGGTCCAAATAGTGTCCAGGTGAAGAATTTACACTGGGGCCTCTAGGGTGCACAGACCACCTAGAAGGAGCTCAGCATTCTGCATGAAGAGCTATTTACACTCCTGCAGTGAAATAACTCAGAGGTGGAATTAAATGTAATGAAGGGAACATCAATGGGGTCCAAATATTTGAGTTATAAATGCTGAAAGGGGAGCCCAGGCCACCTGGAGGATTCACAGATCACCTGGAAAGAGGTCAGCATTCTGCATAGAGGGCTGTTTATACTGCTGCAGTGAAATAACTCAGAGGTGGAACTAAATGTAATTAAGGGAACAGCAATGGGGTCCAAATAGAGTCCAGGTGAAGCATTTGCACAGGGGCCCCTAGGTCCCCATCCTCACCACTGATCTGGCTGGTGGTAAACACATTGACAAATCTGGTCCTATCTTTCTATAGAAGATGATGCTGTGCCTGCCATTTCCTATGTAAATGATCTCATGCAGTCCGGTGGCTGTCACATTGTATCTGCACTGAATCCTCTGGATCACGTCAGCAGTGCTCCATGTCCGTCGGGATATTCGGCCTTTTTGCATTCATCATATTAAATATAGAAGACAAATCTCCACATTACTCACCCAGCTGCTTCATCAACGCCAGCGGCAGGATGATGCAGATGGACACCATGATCACCAAGTAATTCCCATTTAGGTACCAGTCCCTGGAAGGGGGACACACAACGGTTAGCCAGAGGTAATAGATGGACTGAGTGCAGCACCATGGGGTCAATATTGGGCCCTTTTTGTGGAAATTACATTTTTCCTAAACTCTGAGCCATTTCTTCTCACCAGCAAAATCACCAACACATGTTTAAAGTGGAACTCCGGACAGAACACTTTTTGCTAATTGTGGACAGAGTGGGGGAGGGTTAGAGCCTCTCTTAGGTGTCACTACCAGGTGTGACCCCATTGGGGAGATTTCCCATCACTTCCTGTCCTGGTAAGAGGGGAATGATAAGGGGAAATCTGCCACTCTGCAGACAGAGGTTCTAACCTTTCTCCACTCCATCCAAAACAACATTTTTTTTAGTGTGAGTTCCCCTTTAATAAACTTTTAGATGTTAACCCTTCAGTTGCTGATGAACTATGAGTCCCAGCATGCTGTTAGTAGGGCATTCTGGGACTTGTAGTTCCTCAGTGTGCCCTGGGTTCAATAATCTGGGATAACCTAGCCCAGGAAGGGGAGGGGGGGGGCAGAGAAGTGTCAGAGGGGGTGTTCCCCGGTGCACACCCCCCAACGTGCTGCCAGCTCTGCTGTGTTTTTCCACTTCTCCCTCTCGGCTCTGTGCGGTATTTTTAGGAGCTGTGAGTTCATGTGGGGCTGGAAGGGCCGGCTGCAGCTCTATTAGGAGACGTGGATATCCACAGGGTACAGAGACATGTACAGAGCAACAGTGAGAGCACTGCATGGAATGGGGGGGGGCAGAGGGGAACGTGGGGGTATAGAGTGGGGGGGGATGTTGGAAGGGGGTAAATGGATGGAGATAATGGGGGGGACAGAGGGAAAATAGGGGGGAGAGGGGAGTGGTAAAAAGAGATGGAGAGGGAGGGAATGTTGGAAGGGGGTAAATGGATGGAGATAATGGGGGGGGGGCAGAGGGAAAATGGGGGTGGAGGGAGGGTGGTAAAGAGATGGAGAGGGAGGGAGGGGGGAATGTTGGAAAGGGGTAAATAGATGGAGATAATGGGGGGACAGAGAGAAAATGAAGGGGAAAGGGGGGGTGGAAAAGAGATGGCGAGGGGGGGGATGTTGGAAGGGGGTAAATGGATGGAGATAATGGGGGGGGGGACAGAGGGAAAATGGGGGGAGAGAGAGGGGGGCTGGTAAAGAGATGGAGAGAGGGGGAATGTTGGAAGGGGGGTAAATGGATGGAGATAATGGGGGGGGGGGGGGGACACAGAGGGAAATGGAGGGATAGAGAGGTGAAGATAATGGGAGTGGGGTAAAGAGATGGAGGGGAATGTAGTAGGGGGGTGGGGGAATGTTGGAAGGGGGTAAATGGATGGAGAGGAAAAAAGGGAGAGGGATATATATAGATAGAGAGAGAGAGAAGGGGGGGGCACACAGGATGAAATGGGTAAAGGGGGGGTTAGAGGTGAGAGGGGGAGAATAAGATGATAGAGAGGGGAAAAATGGGGGGTAGGTATAGAGATGGAGGGGGGGGGGGTATGGAGGGTTGAAGGAGTGAATGGGGGGGGGGGGGGGGGTAAAGGATGGAGAAGGGGAGGAATGTGTGTGTGTGTGGGGGGGGGGGGGGGTATGTTGGAAGGGGAAATACGTATGGAGAGGAAAAGTTAGGAATAGAGAGGGGAGAATGGGGGGGGGGGGGGGGGGGAGTGTATAGAGATGGATAGAGAAAAGGGGGAGGGTAGGAGGGTGATATATATAGATGGAAAGAGAGAAGTGGGGGAGGATGTATGGAATGAAAATGGGTAAAAGGGGGGGGGGAGGGGTTAGAGGTCAGAGGGCATGAATGGGAGGGAATACCAATGGAGAAAGAAAAAAGAAGTGAGAGAGAGGATGAATATGGGGCGGGGGGGGGGGGTAAATATGGAGAGAGAGAAGGAGAGGTATATAGAGGGGGAAGTGGGTGGGTATTAGATATGGAGAGAGAAGGAGGGAGGACGGGATAGAGGGGGGGGGGGGCGGTATTGAGATGGAGAGAGAGAAGGGGGGATAGAGAGTGAGGGGAGGAATGAGGGGTAAAGAGATGGGAGAGAGGGGATAAAGTCAGCGTATGAGTGTGTGGGGGGGGGGGAGGGGGGTACAGACATGGAGATAGGAAAGGGAGGGGAAAGAATGGGGGGGGGGGTTATAAAGATAAGTAGAGAGGGAAAGGAGTATAGAGAAAATAGAGATGGAGAATTGGGGGATGAATGGAAATGGGGTGACAGGGTGGGGGGGGGGGGGGGAGGGGGTAGGTAGTGGAGAGGGGTCTAGGGAGGGGAAGAGGCACTCTGCCCTCCTCAGTGTCTGAAACTAAAACTCCTGCACCCCCCATACTCCGCAGCCCCACCCTTCCTGCACAGGCAGTCCGTACACTAACACAGGAAGGGTTCTTTACAGTAAGAGCTGCAGAAATCTGGAATAGACCTCCGGAGCGGCTTCTAGTCAGATCAGTAGATTGCTTCCAATGGGGCAGGAAGGGATTCTAAATCCGAATGTAACGAATACGCAGCAGACACGACATTGCGGATTGCTGATCTGGTTCAGCGTCCAATCGGCTTTGGAGATCCAGAATGAACGTTTTTGGAGGTTCCGGGCTCTGGGAATGTTCGGTGGGATTTGATTTAATTTTTTTTTTAAATTTCTGTCTTTTGGTTGAACTACATGTACACGCGTCTTTTTTTCTATTCTACGTATGTAGCTATAAAACATAAGCAGCGAGGAGCGGTAACCCGTAGCAACCTGACGCCCCCCCCCCCCCCGCGCTGGAGCAAACCCGGGACGTGCTGCCGGTATGTTCCCCCTGCTGCAGTCTGTACATAGACGGCCATTGTGAGAGTGGGACGGGGATGGAGAGATGACGCACGTCTGCGAGGAACGGTTCACCGCTGGACAGGAGACACAGGGGGGAGGTGGCTGGGGGGGGGGCGAGGGGGGGTGCAGGTCACCTTTCAGCATCACTTCCAATAAGGGAGCCTTTCACAGCGGCGGACGTGCTGCGGGCTGTTTATTTTTGGGGAGGGAGCGCAGCGCGAGACAGGCTGAGCGTTTATCAGCGGCCAGGTTTTCGGCGGCCCTCCAGCTTTACTGAAGATGCCAGAGGAGAGCTGAACATATCCGGAGCCGGAGGAGGACGAACACAGGAGCAACGATCGCCCGCGCGAGGAGAACGATCCTTATTTTCAGCCATGTAACTGGATGGATGGGAAATAATAAGGATCCTTATCCCGGGGTGCGAGAATTGAGAATGGCGAGGAATCGGAACGCTGCAGCGCCAAACTGAAGCCGTATTAAACCCAAATCTATAATATACTACCGATCTTACCAATCACTAGATGTGGCGGCTGCATTCGTTTTCTTTTCTCCTCTGTTTTCACCTGGTGATCCAGCCACCTCCTGTAATAGAACGCCCCCACTCTGGGTGAAGGAGCACAGGAGGCGCAGCAGAATTGTCAGTCTGGGGGGGGGCCTGCATTCACTATATCCGCTCTCCCCGGACCCCGGCATTCACTATATCTGGTCTCCCCGGACCCCGCATTCACTATATCTGCTCTCCCGGGACCCTGCATTCACTATATCCGGTCTCCCCGCACCCCGCATTCACTATATCTGGTCTCCCCCCCGACCCTGCATTCACTATATATGCTCTCCCCGGATCCTGCATTCACTATATCCGCCCTCCTTGGACCCCACATTCACTATATCCGCTCTCCCCGGACCCCGCATTCACTATATCCGCTTTCCCCGGACCCCGCATTCACTATATCCGCTCTCTGAGGACCCCGCATTCACTATATCCGCTCTCCCCGGACCCCGCATTCACTGTATTCGCTCTCCCCGGACCCCGCATTCACTGTATCCGCTCTCCCCGGACCCCACATTCACTGTATCCGCTCTCCCCGCACCCCGCATTCACTATATCTGGTCTTCCCGGACCCCGCATTCACTATATCTGGTCTCCCCGGACCCCGCATTCACTATATCCGGTCTCCCCGGACCCTGCATTCACTATATCCACTCTCCCCGGACCCTGCATTCACTATAGCCACTCTCCCCGGACCCTGCATTCACTATATCCACTCTCCCCGGACCCTGCATTCACTATAGCCACTCTCCCCGGACCCTGCATTTACTATTTCCAGTCTCCCGGACCCTGCATTCACTATTTCCGCTCTTCCCGGACCCCGCATTCACTATATCCGCTCTCCCCGGACCCCGCATTCACTATATCCGCTCTCCCCGGACCCTGCATTCACTATATCCGCTCTCCCCGGACTCTGCATTCACTATATCCGCTCTCCACAGACCCTGCATTCACTATATCCGCTCTCCCCAGACCCCGGCATTCACTATATCTGGTCTCCCAGGACCCTGCATTCACTATATCTGGTCTCCCAGGACCCTGCATTCACTATATCTGGTCTCCCAGGACCCTGCATTCACTATATCTGGTCTCCCCGGACCCTGCATTCACTATATCCGCTCTCCTCGGACCCCGCATTCACTATATCCGCTCTCCCCAGACCCCGGCATTCACTATATCTGGTCTCCCCGGACCCTGCATTCACTATATCTGGTCTCCCCGGACCCTGCATTCACTATATCCGCTCTCCCTGGACCCTGCATTCACTATATCTGGTCACCCAGGACCCTGCATTCACTATATCCTGTCTCCTAGGACCCCGCATTCACTATATCCACTCTCCCCAGACCCCGCATTCACTATATCCGCTCTCCCCGGACCCCGCATTCACTATATCCGCTCTCCCAGGACCCCGCATTCACTATATCCGCTCTCCCCGGACACCGCATTCACTATATCCGCTCTCCCCGGACCCCGCATTCACTATATCCGCTCTCCCCGGACCCCGCATTCACTATATCCGCTCTCCCCGGACCCCGCATTCACTGTATCCGCTCTCCCGGGACCCCGCATTCACTGTATCCGCTCTCCCCGGACCCCGCATTCACTATATCTGGTCTCCCCGGACCCCGCATTCACTATATCCGCTCTCCCCGGACCCCGCATTCACTATATCCGCTCTCCCCGGACCCCGCATTTACTGTATCCGCTCTCCCCGGACCCCGCATTCACTGTATCCGCTCTCCCCGGACCCCACATTCACTGTATCCGCTCTCCCCGGACCCCGCATTCACTATATCTGGTCTCCCCGGACCCTGCATTCACTATATCTGGTCTCCCCGGACCCTGCATTCACTATATCCGCTCTCCCCAGACCCTGCATTCACTATAGCCACTCTCCCCGGACCCTGCATTCACTATATCCGCTCTCCCTGGACCCTGCATTCACTATATCCGCTCTCCCCGGACCCCGCATTCACTATATCCGGTCTCCCCGGACCCTGCATTCACTATATCCGCTCTCCCCGGACCCTGCATTCACTATATCCCCTCTCCCCGGACCCCGCATTCACTATATCCGCTCTCCCCGGACCCTGCATTCACTATATCTGGTCTCCCCGGACCCTGCATTCACTATATCTGGTCTCCCCGGACCCTGCATTCACTATATCCGGTCTCCTCGGACCCTGCATTCACTATATCCGCTCTCCCCGGACCCTGCATTCACTATATCCGGTCTCCCCGGACCCCGCATTCACTATATCCGCTCTCCCCGGACCCCGCATTCACTGTATCCGCTCTCCCCGGACCCCGCATTCACTGTATCCGCTCTCCCCGGACCCCACATTCACTGTATCCGCTCTCCCCGGACCCCGCATTCACTATATCTGGTCTCCCCGGACCCTGCATTCACTATATCTGGTCTCCCCGGACCCTGCATTCACTATATCCACTCTCCCCAGACCCTGCATTCACTATAGCCACTCTCCCCGGACCCTGCATTCACTATATCCGCTCTCCCTGGACCCTGCATTCACTATATCCGCTCTCCCCGGACCCCGCATTCACTATATCCGGTCTCCCCGGACCCTGCATTCACTATATCCGCTCTCCCCGGACCCTGCATTCACTATATCCCCTCTCCCCGGACCCGCATTCACTATATCCGGTCTCCCCGGACCCTGCATTCACTATATCCGCTCTCCCCGGACCCTGCATTCACTATATCCCTCTCCCCGGACCCTGCATTCACTATATCCCCTCTCCCCGGACCCCTGCATTCACTATATCCGCTCTCCCCGGACCCTGCATTCACTATATCTGGTCTCCCCGGACCCTGCATTCACTATATCCCTCTCTCCCCGGACATTCACTATATCTGGTCTGCTGCATTCACTATCTCCCGGACCCTGCATTCACTATATCCGCTCTCCCCGGACCCTGCATTCACTATATCTGGTGCGTTCCGGTTGCAGAAAAAAAGTAGAACAGGCGGTATTTTTTCTGCACAGAACTGTACTGGAACGGAGTAAAAATGAACTGGAAGGTGCCAAACACATGCGTGCAAAAACGCATCCGGAACACATCTAAACTGCGTTTCTATAGTGTGAACCGGCCCTAGAGGTTTTACATGAATAAATAAAAGCTGATCATTGTCGGCACCCCTGTCAGTGGTAAATGGTTTGTCTCATCTCTGTAACTGATACATCTGCAGGAGAGCGTGTTCTTACCAGCTGGATCACCGGATGAAAATAGAAGAAAGAAAGCCTAATACAAGAAAAGGAATGCAGCCGCCACATCTAAGAACCGTCAAGCTGCGATGTGATAAATGCTGAATTTGGGGTTTCATTCGGCTTCACAAAGATGCTCCGGCCATTCCGGGAGTGAAATCCGAATCTATCCGAGGACAAATCTTTGTTACATTTTGGATTCAATAGAATCATTTTAAACCTCCATTTTTCTGTCTGTAAGCAATACAGGAAATGACACGGATACAAATCGATCGTCTGCATAGAACTCGATACAATTCTGTAGAGGGAATTCGATTGGATCATGAATAATATCCGCCGCAACATGGACAGCAGGAATGTGACTTACGAAGTTTTTTCGGAGAGTTTGAGGAACGTCTGAATGACGAGCGGCAACTCCGACTTCACAATGTACAGGTAGCTGGACATGGCTGAGGACACAGAGAGGGTGTGGTCAACTTCACAGGTAAGATTTGTGTCCCTGCCCCTCCCACAATGATGAGATTTGTCTCTGCCCCTCCCACAATGATGAGATGTGTCTCTGTCCCTCCCACAATGGTGAGATTTGTGTCCCTGCCCCTCCCACAATGATAAGATGTGTCTCTGCCCCTCCCACAATGGTAAGATGTGTCTCTGCCCCTCCCACAATGATGAGATGTGTGTCTCTGCCCCTCCCACAATGATGAGATGTGTGTGTCTCTGCCCCTCCCACAATGATGAGATGTGTGTCTCTGCCCCTCCCACAATGATGAGATGTGTGTCTCTGCCCCTCCTACAATGATGAGATGTGTCTCTGCCCCTCCCACAGTGATGAGATGTGTGTCTCTGCCCCTCCCACAATGATGAGATGTGTGTGTCTCTGCCCCTCCCACAGTGATGACGTGTCTCTGCCCCTCCCACAGTGATGAGATGTGTGTCTCTGCCCCTCCCACAATGATGAGATGTGTGTCTCTGCCCCCTCCCACAGTGATGAGATGTGTGTCTCTGCCCATCCCACAATGATGAGATGTGTCTCTGCCCCTCCCACAGTGGTGAGATGTGTATCCCTGCCCCTCCCACAATGATGAGATGTGTCTCTGCCCCTCCCACAATGATGAGATGTGTCTCTGCCCCTCCCACAGTGATGAGATGTGTGTCTCTGCCCCTCCCACAGTGATGAGATGTGTGTCTCTGCCCCTCCCACAGTGATGAGATGTGTGTATCTGCCCCTCCCACAGTGATGAGATGTGTCTCTGCCCCTCCCACAGTGATGAGATGTGTGTCTCTGCCCCTCCCACAGTGATGAGATGTGTGTCTCTGCCCCTCCCACAGTGATGAGATGTGTGTGTCTCTGCCCCTCCCACAGTGGTGAGATGTGTGTCTCTGCTCATCCCACAGTGATGAGATGTGTGTCTCTGCCCCTCCCACAGTGATGACATGTGTCTCTGCCCCTCCCACAATGATGAGATGTGTCTCTGCCCCTCCCACAATGATGACATGTGTGTCTCTGCCCCTCCCACAATGATGAGATGTGTCTCTGCCCCTCCCACATGATGAGATGTGTGTCTCTGCCCCTCCCACAATGATGAGATGTGTGTGTCTCTGCCCCTCCCACAATGATGAGATGTGTGTCTCTGCCCCTCCCACAATGATGAGATGTGTGTCTCTGCCCCTCCCACAAGGCAATCATGGAAGTATCACTCTCCCACAACTAGCGGAGTCGGGGGAGGGTGACACCATCGCTTCGCCTTGTATTGTCTTCATCTCGGAGTTCCTGGGATTTTGATCACATTATAATTTTCTGAGAAATGTTACCTCCGATGTTCTGCAGCGTAATGGCGATGGCGGCGGCCATCTTGCCGGGAGTCCCGAAGGCTTTGAGCCCCAGCTGCTCGTAGGCGCGAATCCCTGCGACAGAAGAGGAAGTCAGGTGCATGAACGGCCATCAATGACCTCCCCCCGAAAATACCGACCGCCTGGCTGCCCCACCAGCTTCAGTGCTCCATACTGACCACAGACTTGTGTGCTGGATCAACCCGGCAGCCAGTCAAACGGCATTTTCAGAGGTCAAAGGTCAGCAAGCTGCGAGCGATTACCGGCAGAGAATTCCCGCGGTCACATGACACTCACCGACTATCCCGGAGGACTTCAGCAGCAGGTGGATGGAGTAGGTGGACAGAAGGGCGACGGCCGTGAGGAGGAACCTGAATCCAAAGAACACGATGGAGGTTACACACCTGAGATCTGCCATTCACCAAACATTCACCGACGGTGAACCTTCCGGGAGCATCTGTGACTGATTCACCACCAGTGAATGTTCGGTAACAACAACAAAAAACATCTTCACTGCTTTATAAATATACCCCTCGGCAGTGTTCACAAATGTCTGACACAGATCAGCCCCCTGCTGCAGACTCAAACCTTGTGACTGGCTACAAAGTTACAATGTACAGTCTGATCTCTAGGGGCGGGACTAAGGAAATGATCCCTCCTCCTTCTACAAAGTTACAATGTACAGTCCGATCACTGTGGGAGGGGAGACTGAGGAAATGGCCCCTCCTCCTTCTACAAAGTTACAATGTACAGTCTGATCACTTGGGGCGGGACTGAGGAAATGATCCCTCCTCATTCTACAAAGTTACATGATTACTGTCTGATCACTACAAAGACTGAGGAAATGACTCCTTCTCCTTCTACAAAGTTATAATGTACAGTCCGATCTCTGGGGGAGGGGAGGCTGCAAATGAAATCCTCCTCCTCTACAGAGTTACAATGTACAGTCTGATCACTGGGGAGGGGAGACTGAGGAAATGACTCCTTCTCCTTCAACAAAGTTACAATGTACGGTCTGATCACTGGGGGAGGGGACTGAGGAAATGGCTCCTCCTCCTTCTACAAAGTTACAATGTACAGTCTGATCACTGGGGGAGGGGAGACTGAGGAAATGACTCCTTCTCCTTCAACAAAGTTACAATGTACGGTCTGATCACTGGGGGAGGAGACTGAGGAAATGGCTCCTCCTCCTTCTACAAAGTTACAATGTACAGTCCGATCTCTGGGGGAGGGGAGGCTGAGGAAATAACTCCTCCTCCTACAGAGTTACAATGTACAGTCTGATCACTGGGGGAGGGGAGACTGAGGAAATGACTCCTTCTCCTACAAAGTTACAATGTACAGTCTGATCACTGGGGGAGGAGACTCTGAGGAAATGGCTCCTCCTTCTTCTACAAAGTTACAATGTACACAGCCTGATCACTGGGGGGGGGGAGGGGAGAAATGCAGTTGGAGGAGGTCCCTGGGTTGTGTCGCTGGTCGATTCTTCCATCGCAGAACATACATGAAGCGTGTTGGGACAGGTCGCTCGCGCTCCATGTCATGTAGCGTGTTTATAGTGGGTCGGGAGAATTGGAAGACGCGGCTACACATGGCGGAGCGGCCGGATTGGCAGGAGACGGTGTTCATATCCTGTTACTGACCCTGAGTCATGGGAATGAGCAGCTGGTATGTGGGGGGGGGGGGGGGGGGGGGGGGGGGGGGGGGGGTCAGGAGATGAATCGCCAATCCCGCTCTGCATGCCAGGTGTGAGCGCTCCCAGAGAGGAACAGCAACACCCCCCACTGTGCTGACTGAGCCCCAATCATCATCCCTGCCTTCCTGGGTGGGGGGGGGTGATAGATCGATCACTTATAGATAACTAGATAATAGATAGAAAGATCGATAGACAGATATTGGCGCTCTCATTGGATGGGAGGGTGGCAGGTGGGCGGTGCTTAGTCCTGCGGTTACGGAGAGGCACACGGAGAGGAGGAAAGCGCAGGGAGCTGATTGGTGGGACTTGCTTTTGGCTCCATTCACACTTGTGTGACTTCACATACGTGTGATTTTCATGGTGACTCTGGGTGAGGGCGGCTTTGTTGCGACTTTGGGTGAGTGTGACTTTGGTGCGAATCTGGTGAGTGCAGCTTTGGTGCGGCTTTGGTGCGACTCTGGTGAGTGCAGCTTTGGTGCAGCTTTGTGTGAGTGCAGCTTTGTTGAGTGCGGCTTTGGTGAGTGCAGCTTTGGTGCGACTCTGGTGAGTGCGGCTTTGGTGCGACTCTGGTGAGTGCAGCTTTGGTGCGACTCTGGTGAGTGCATCTTTGGTGCGGCTTTGGTGCGACTCTGGTGAGTGCAGCTTTGGTGCGACTCTGGTGAGTGTAGCTTTGGTGCAGCTTTGGTGAGTGCAGCTTTGGTGAGTGCGGCTTTGGTGAGTGCAGCTTTGGTGTGACTCTGGTGAGTGCGGCTTTGGTGCGACTTTGGCTTTGACGGAGGACGATTGCGTGTGCTCTACAAAAGTCGCTTGTCTATCATTCAGGAGGGACTCTGGAGGGTTTACATTGAAGTCTATGGCCTGCAAGTTGCACAGAAGTAGTGCAGGAACGACTTTCGAGTCGCTGCGATTTGAAGTCGCACAGATGTGAATGGCGCTCGCTGGGAAACATGGGGGTGTGACTTTTGTGGGGGGAGGAGCCATGTATGGGGGAGGGGCAGCCATAGGTATTCCCTGTCTATGGGCCGTCCTGATCAGTATTGGTGTCGGTGATTGGCCAGGTCATGTGACACCGAGGGATCCGTATCTCCTCTCGGATGATGAGTGTATGGACAGATCCGTGTCACATCAATATTTATGTTCTATATCGGGGAGAACATTCCGCCCGGTAACAGCTGCTCCCTACAGCTCTGATTGGCTGCGAGTGATCATCCCACGCCGGTCGCAGATGAGACTTTCCATGGAAGATACAAAGTATCCGGCAGGAATTTCCACGGATGACATTTTTAAAAAATTCATTTTTGGGGCTCATTCACATGCGGGGCTATTATTATATCCGCGGTGGATCGCACTTTAGAGGGCATTTGATGAGAGGGTCATGTTCAGCACTTCCTGTTATAGGGTGACAACACTCTGTCCCTGTCTCTCAATTGTGCTCCTGCGTTGTCATCACCCTGTCATTCCTGTTCAGGCACTTCCTGTTATAGGGTGACAACACTCTGTGCTTGTCTCTCAGTTGTGCTCCTGTGTTGTCACCCTGTCATCCTTGTTCAGGCACTTCCTGTTATAGGGTGACAACACTCAGTGCCTGTCTCTCAAATGTGCTCCTGTGTTGTCACCCTGTAATCCTTGTTCAGGCACTTCCAGCTATAAGATGACAACGCTCTGTCCCTGTCTCCCAGTTGTGCTCCTAGGTTGTCACCCTTTTGTCTTTTTCATTCATTTCCTGTTTTAGGTTGACAACACTCTGTGTCCCAATTGTACTTCTGCGTTGTCACCCTGTCATCCTTGTTCAGGAGCCTTCCTGTGATAGGGTGACAACACTCTGTCCCTGTCTCCAAATTGTGCTCCTGCGTTGTCACCGTCACACCCGCTTCTAATAGAGACAACAAGCGTCCGTTTCAGCACTCATCACACACACACGGTCCGCTGTTGTCACCATCAGGAATCCCGCCCTGAGAAATGCTGTGCAGCCATCACATGTAGACGGGAAGTGGCTGGAAAGAGGCTGCAGGAGATCAGCAGCGCTGAGACATCACAAAGAAAAAAAAAAGCAATACACAATGAAAGACAATAGTTGAGAGCGCAGAGCAGAGTAAATGTCGCCCGCTTCGGGGTCACACCTGCCGCCGCTCGCCAGTATAGGATCGCTCTATATTTGTCTCGCCCCTATTTTCAGCTGGCAGGGGGCGGAGCTTCGAACCTACAACAGTGCAGCTCCTATTTATAGAAGGTGAAAGGTCATCGGGGTATCGAGTCACATCCTCCATGCGGTCACCAGACTAGGGGAACCCGACACCGGCGACTCTCCGGACCTCGGCGCCATTACTGCAGTGGGGAACCTCTTCCGCTACACTGAGCGCGGCGGCGGGGGTCCCGGAACGGGCGTCTCGGGTGTCTCAGGTGTCCCGGCACCAAGCTGGGATGGCAAGAAGTGGTGCCACCTGGGCACAGTGCCGCCCGCAGGGACACCGCATGCCTCACCGAGACGGACAGATCATCCCACGACTCGAATTACACATCCCAGCGCAGCGTCTCCGCTCCTCGGCCAGAGAATTCGTCCATGGAGTCACCGAACCCCCATCCTGATCTTCCTGACACCTGCGGCTCCCCACCTATCGTCTCCACGCCTCTGCCAGAGAATTCGTCCAAGGAGTCACGAACCCCCATCCTGATCTTCCGACACCTGCGGCTCCCCACCTATCGTCTCCACGCCTCTGCCAGAGAATTCGTCCAAGGAGTCACCGAACCCCCATCCTGATCTTCCTGACACCTGCGGATCCCCACCTAGCGACTCCGCGCCTCTGCCAGAGAATTCGTCCATGGAGTCACCGAACCCCATCCTGATCTTCCTGACACCTGCGGCTCCCCACCTATCTCCACGCCTCTGCCAGAGAATTCGTCCATGGAGTCACCGAACCCCCATCCTGATCTTCCTGACACTGCCATATGCGGCTCCCCACCTAATGTGGGGCGTCGCCCTTCCAGGTATCGATCGCTAGTCATGTGCCGATCGATTCATTTCCAATCGAAATTCGGGCGAGATTTTCGCTGTTCTGAGATTTGGATGTATCCTGATTTCCGAATTATAATAGTAACAAATGTAACAAATGTCCGAAATAACGAATTATCTGTATTCAAATCGAATTTGAAAAGAAGTTCAAAATGTAAATGTATTGCTGACTATTGCGGATTTTCTGCAAGGACTGTGTGCACTAGAATAGAACTGTCTCCTGAAATTCACATTCCATAAAGAACAGAACATAAAAGAATAGAATAGAAAGAATAGAATAGGCTATAAAAGAATAGAATGGAATAGAATAGAAAAAAAAAAAGAATAGAATGGAAAATAAAAGACTAGAATAGAAAGGAATAGAATAGAATAAAATATAAATAGAATAGGATATAAAAGAATAGAATAACAATTAATAGATTATAATAAAATAGAAAGAACAGAATAGGCTATACAAGAATAGAATGGAATAGAATAGAATACAATAGAAATAATAGACTAGGTTATAAAGTAATAGAATGGAATAGAATAGAATGGAAATAAAAAAATAGAACAGAAAGGAATAGAATAAAATAGAAAGAAAGAATAGGAATAGAATAAAATAATAGAATAGAAAGGAATAGAATAAAAATAAAGGAATAGAATAAAATATAAAAGAATAGCATAGAATAGAATGAATATAGTCTTCTTCTGAATTTCGAACAAATAGAAAATTTGAAAATAGAACGAAAAAAATAAAAAAAATAGAAAAATGAAAGAATAGAATAGAATTGAATATAAAGGAATAGAACGAAAAAGAATAAAATAGAATAGAAAATAAAAGAATAGAATAGAAAGAATAAGGCCGTCTTCTGAAATTTGAATTTAGAATAGAATAGAAGCAGCTACTCTTCACAGTAAATTTGAATCAATTCAATATTTTTGTTTTTTTTTCGTTCTGCGCGTCTGTAGATCGCTCCCCGCAGTGATCCCCGGACTCCCCCTGACAACGCCTTCATCTGCCTTTCTCTCCAGAAGGACGGCGCCAACCTGCACTGAGATCCATGGGAAGGCCGCCCTCCTTGTGCCTGGCTGCCATGTTAATTCTCTGACTTTCTGTATCAATCATCTGGAACAAGCATGCGGCCAGTGAAGTCAGAACGCCTTTTCTGCACGTTTGCTTCCAGCCTTGCAGCACTGAAGCCAGTCATTCAGCATTTTCAGGATTGGGTGGCAGCGGGGGACTCTATATTTGTGTCTGTGATCGGGGGAGGAGTGCGAATCGGACACTGCAAGTCCCAGCATTCCCCCCACAGATCAGGTGATGATTGGCTGTGACACGGAGGGGGCGGTACTCACAGGAAGAGGAGGATTCCGGTGTTCGCCATGGCGTAGGCCAGGCCTAGGATGCCGCTCCCCATGATGGCGTTGCTGAGATTGAACACGGACATGCCGAAGGAGGTCTTCCCCTCGAACTGCAAGAGGAGGAGATACAATCAGAAAGGAGCTGAACACCCCCTCAATCATGTGACCCCCCCCCCGTACAGAGCTCATCACCCCCCCCCCATCATGTCACCCCCCCCGATCATGTCACCCCCCCCATACAGAGGTCATCACCCCCCCGATCATGTCACCCCCCCCCCCATACAGAACTCATCACCCCCCCGATCATGTTACCCCCCCATACAGAGGTCATCACCCCCCCCCCCCCTGCAATCATGGCACCCCCCCATACAGAGCTCATCACCCTCCTGATCATCTGACAGAACTAATTCCCCCCCTGACCATGTACCCCCCACCCCCCAAACAGAGCTCATCACCCCCCTGACCATGGGCCCCCCCAAGCAGGTGGGGGTCATATGTTCGAGGGGGCTCATTACCCCCCACCCGACCATATGACCCCCACCAGAGCTCATTACCCCCCCCCCCCCGAGCATGCCCCCCCAATAGAGCTCATCAGCCCCTGACCATGTGACCCCCCAAGCAGAGCTCATCACACCCCCAACCATGGGCCCCCCTAAACAGAGCTCATTACCTCCTGACCATGTGACCCCCCAAACAGAGCTCATCACCCCCCTGACCATGGCCCCCCCCAACAGAGCTCATCACCCCCCTGACCATGGGCCCCCACAAACAGCTCATTACTCACCTTGACCATGTGCCCCCCAAACAGAGCTCATCACCTCCCCTGACCATGGGTCCTCCTAAACAAAGCTCATCACCCCCTGACCATGTGACCCCACCAATCAGAGCTCATCACCCCTTGACCATGTGACCCCCGATGGAAGGAGCCCACCACCCCTTACTATGTGACCCCACCAGACTCTACTCACATCCGTGAACCGTGGCTTCTCCTTCCCAGAGACATGAGGCAGAAATTCTTCCAACTCCTGATTCTCCGCTCCGGTGTAACTACAGAATTCAAATATGAACGAATGTTAGTGCGGAGTCACCCCGGGGGAGGGGGGCCAGCACAGAGCCAGGGGAAGAGGTGGTGGGGGGGGGGGGGGGTAGATGAGTGTACAGAGTGGGGGGCTGAGATGTATCATATAAGGGGGTGAATTTTAAATCTCTTTAGTCTGTTCCAGATTTGCCGGGATAGTCCCGCATTTTGTCCCTCTGGAGATGTGTCCTGGGCCGTGTCCCGGAATCACAGCATCAACACTGTTTTAGTGTCTGTATCTCAAAAAAAAAAAGCATTCATTGCAGGGACTGGGGCCTGCAAATGAGTAGTCTCCACATATTCAGAGGCGGGGTCTAGGTGGGGCCAACCTATAAAGTGTGCAAGTTGGGCAGTCCCTGCATATTTAGTCCCTGCATTATTTTTTTTAGAGGCGGGGTCTGAGTAGGACCAACCTGTAAAGTGGACATGATGTGCAATCAGCACCTATTTAGAGGCAGGGCCAACCTGTAAAGTAGGCACGATGGGTGGTCCTCACCTAGCCACGGTCTGGGTGGGACCAATTCATAAAGTGGGTGTGATGGGTGGTACCTGCATATACAGAGGCGGGGTCTGGGCGGGGCCACCCTATAAAGTGAGTGTGAAGGGCAGTCGCTGCATATTTAGAGGCGGGGTTTGGGTGGGACCACCCTATAAAGTGAGTGTGATGGGCGGTCCCTGTGTATTTTGAGGTAGGATTTGGGTGGGACCATCTTATAAAGTGAGTGTGATGGGCGGTCAATGCACATTTTGGAGGTGGGGTCTGGGCGGGACCACCCTATAAAGTGAGTGTGATGGGAGGTCCTGCATATTTAGAGGCGGGGTCTGGGCGGAACCCCCCTTTAAAGTGAGTGTGATGGGCAGTCGCTGCATATTTAGAGACGGGGTCTGGGTGGGACCATCCTATAAAGTGAGTGTGATGGGCGCTCCACTGTGTATTTAGAGGCGGGGTCTGGGTGGAACCACCCTATAAAGTGAGTGTGATGGGCAGTCGCTGTGTATTTAGAGGCGGGGTCTGGGTGGGACCACCCTATAAACTGTGTGATGGGCGGTCCCTGCATATTTAGAGGTGGGGTCTGGACGGGACCACCCTATAAAGTGAGTGTGATGGGTGGTCCCTATGTATTAAGAGGCGGGGGGTCTGGGCGGGACCACCCTATAAACTGTAAAATTGTAAAGAGAAGGAAATTGATAAATGGTCTCAAAATGTTTTAGAAATAAATCTGTGAAAAGTGTGGCAGCATTTGTATTCAGCCGCTTTACTCTGATACCCCTAACTAAAATCTAGTGGAACCAATTGCCTTCAGAAGTCACCTAATTAGTACATAGAGTCCCCCCGTGTGTCATGTGATCTCAGTATAAATCCAGCTGTTCTGTGAAGCCCTCAGAGGTTTGCTAGAGAATATTAGTGAACAAACAGCATCATCAAGGCCAAGGAACACACCAGACAGGTCAGGGATAAAGTTGTGGAGAAGTTTCAAGCAGGGTTAGGCTTTTAAAAAGCTCCCAAGCTTTGCCCATCTCACTGATCAATCCATCATCTGGAAATGGGAAGAGTACGGCACAACTGCCAACCTACTAAGACATGGCCGTCCACCTAAACTGACAGGCCGGGCAAGGAGAGCATTCATCAGAGAAGCAGCCAAGAGGCTCATGGGAACTCTGGAGGAGCTGCAGAGATCACAGCTCAGGTGGGGGAATCTGTCCTCAGGACAACTATTAGTCGTGACTCCACAAATCTGCTCTTTATGGAAGAGTGACAAGAAGAAAGCCATAAGAAGTCCCGTTTGCAGTTTCTGAGAAGCCATGTGGGGGACACAGCAAACATGTGGAAGAAGGGGCTCTGGTCAGAGGAGACCAACATTGAACTTTTTGGCCTAAAAGCAAAACACTATGTGTGGGGGAAAACTAACACTGCCCATCATCCTGAACACACCATCCCCACTGTGAAGCATGGTGGTGGCAGCATCATGTGGTGGGGATGCTTTTCTTCAGCAGGGACAGGGAAGCTGGTCAGAGTTGATGGGAAGATGGATGGAGCCAAATACAGGGCAATCTTAGAAGAAAACCTGTTGGAGTCTGCAAAAGATTTGAGACCGGGGCGGAGGTTCCCCTTCCAGCAGGACAACGACCCGAAACATCCAGCCAGAGCTACAATGGAATGATTCCGGTCCAGGGGCGGACTGACCATTTGGAAACTTGGGCACTGCCCGAGGCCCGGGGTCAGTAGGGGGCCCCATGGGATGCCCCTGGTACCTTTTTCATAGGCTTTTTTGAGTTTGGGCAAGGACACAGGGGCCCCATGATCCCCTATTGCCTGGGGGCCCCATGAGTTGTCAATCCGCCCCTGTTCTGATCAAAGCATCTTCACGTGTTAGAATGGCCCAGTCACAGTCCAGACCCAAATCCAATGGAGAATCTGTGGCCAGACCTGAAAATTGCTGTTCCCAGACGCTCTCCATCCAATCTGACAGAGATGAGCGATTCTGCAAAGAAGAATGGGCAGTAATGTCCCTCTCTAGATGTGCAAAGAGACATCCCCAAAAAGACTTGCAGCTGGAATTGCAGCCAAAGGGGGTCCTACAAAGTACTGACTCCGGGGGACCGAATACAAATGCCGCCACACTTTTCATGGATTTATTGGTCACAAATGTTGGAAACCATTTCTCATTTTCCTTCCACCTCACAATTACAGTGAAGGAAATGCGTATTTGCTCCCCGGCTGATGTTGAATGTTCGCCCCTCACACAGAAATGATCGGTCTAACAATGGAATGTTCGCCCCTCACACAGAAATGATCGGTCTAACAATGGAATGTTCGCCCCTCACACAGAAATGATCGGTCTAACAATGGAATGTTCGGTGTAACACTGAGAGACAGAATACAACAACAAATTCAGCAGAAATGCGTCTAACAAATGATGACGGATCTGCATGTTCATGAGGGAAAGAAGGATTTGATCCCCTTCACAAAACATGACTTAGTACTTGGTGGCAAATCCCTTCTTGGCAATCACAGAGGTCAGACGTTTCCTGGAGTTGGCCCCCAGGTTCGCACACATCTCAGGAGGGATTTTGGCCCACTCCTCTTGGCAGATCCTCTCCAAGTCATTAAGGTTTGGTGGCTGACGTTTGGCAACTCGAACTTTCAGCTCCCTCCACAGGTTTTCCATCGGATGAAGGTCTGGAGACTGGCTAGGCCACTCCAGGACCTTAATGTGCTTCTTCTTGAGCCGCCGCTCCTTTGTTGCCTTGGCCGTGTGTTTTGGGTCATTGTCCTGCTGGAACACCCATCCACCACCCATTTTCAATGCCCTGGCTGAGGGAAGAAGGTTCTCATCCAAGATTTGAGGGTACATTGCCCCGTCCATCGTCCCTTTGATGCGGTGCAGTTGTCCTGTCCCCTTAGCAGAAAAACACCCCCAAAGCAGAATGTTTCCACCACCATGTTTCACAGTTGGGATGGTGTTCTTGGGATCATAGGCAGCATTCCTCCTCCTCCAAACACGGCGAGTTGAGTTGATGCCAAAGAGCTGGATTTTGGTCTCATCTGACCACAACACTTTCCACCAGTCCTCCTCTGCATCATTCAGATGTTCAGTGGCAGACTTCAGACGGGCCTGGACATGTGCTTTCTTGAGCAGAGGGACCTTGCAGGCACTGCAGGATTTCAGTCCTTGTCGGCGTAGTGTGTTACCAATTGTTTTCTTGGTGACTGTGGTCCCAGCTGCCTGGAGATCATTGACAAGATCCTCACGTGTAGTTCTGGGATGATTCCTCACTGTTCTCATGATCATTGACACTCCACGAGGTGAGATCTTGCATGGTGCACCAGACCTAGGGAGACTGACACTTGTTTTGTGTTTCTTCCATTTGTGAATGATTGCACCAACTGTTGTCACCTTCTCACCAAGCTGCTTGGCCATAGTTTGGTAGCCCAGTCCAGCCTTGTGTAGGTCTACCATCTTGTCCCTGACATCCCTGGACAGCTCTTTGGTCTTTGCCATGGTGGAGAGTTTGGAATCTGATGGTTTGATGGCTCCTGTGGACAGGTGTCTTTTATACAGGTAACATAACGAGATTAGCAGCACTCCCTTTAAGAGACTGCTTCTGATCTCAGCTTGTTACCTGTATGAGAGACGCCTGGTAGCCAGAAATCCTGCTGAACGATAGGGGATCAAATCCTTCTTTCCCTCATGAACATGCAGATCCGTCATCATTTGTTAGACGTATTTCTGCTGAATTTGTTGTTGTATTCTGTCTCTCAGTGTTACACCGAACATTCCATTGTTAGACCGATCATTTCTGTGTGAGGGGCGAACATTCCATTGTTAGACCGATCATTTCTGTGTGAGGGGCGAACATTCAGCATCAGCCGGGGAGCAAATACACATTTCCTTCACTGTGTGTGTCACTGTCGGTCCATCACATCCAATCCCAATAAATACATTGTAACATGACAACATGGGGGACATTTCAGGGGGGGAATACATTGTAACATGACAACATGGGGGATATTTGGGGGGGGGGGATACACTGTAACATGACAACATGGGAGACATTTCAGGGGGGAGGGGGATACATTGTAACATGACAACATGGGGGATATTTGGGGGGGGGGATACATTGTAACATGACAACATGGGGGACATTTCAGGGGGAGGGGAATACATTGTAACATGACAACATGGGGGATTTCATACATTGTCATGACAACATGGGGGACATTTCAGGGGGAGGGGAATACATTGTAACATGACAACATGGGGGACATTTCAGGGGGAATACATTGTAACATGACAACATGGGGGACATTTCAGGGGGGGGGAATACATTGTAACATGACAACATGGGGGACATTTCAGGGGGAGGGGAATACATTGTAACATGACAACATGGGGGACATTTCAGGGGGAATACATTGTAACATGACAACATGGGGGACATTTCAGGGGGAGGGGAATACATTGTAACATGACAACATGGGGGACATTTCAGGGGGAGGGGAATACATTGTAACATGACAACATGGGGGACATTTCAGGGGGAATACATTGTAACATGACAACATGGGGGACATTTCAGGGGGAGGGGAATACATTGTAACATGACAACATGGGGGACATTTTTGGGGAGGGGAATACATTGTAACATGACAACATGGGGGACATTTTTGGGGAGGGGAATACATTGTAACATGACAACAAGGGGGACATTTCAGGGGGAGGGGAATACATTGTAACATGACAACATGGGGGACATTTTCAGGGGGAGGGGAATACATTGTAACATGACAACATGGGGGACATTTCAGGGGGAGGGGAATACATTGTAACATGACAACATGGGGGACATTTCAGGGGGAATATACATTGTAACATGACAACATGGGGGACATTTCAGGGGGAGGGGAATACATTGTAACATGACAACATGGGGGACATTTCAGGGGGGAGGGGAATACATTGTAACATGACAACATGGGGGACATTTCGGGGGAGAAGGACTTCTTGAAGGCGCTATACGCAGTAGGTGGGTCAGCGGCAAACATCCGTCACAAGCTGTGAATTATTGGTGGTTGCGCGTCGTTGCGTCACAGACCCCCCCCCCTCCAATCACCCGTCTCCGTACCTGGCGTCCGCGCTCTCGGCGCCCAGCGTCCCGTTGAGTTTCTCTCCCAGCCTCATGTCCACCATCTCTGTCGGTGCCGTGAAGTCCATGGTCAGGGCGCTGCAAGAGACAAAACGCGGGACGGCGTGAATTCCCAGATCTGTCGTGTTTGTATAGACAACATGTGTGCGTGCGCAATCCGCGGCATGTTTACGCCTCACCTCCGCACTCCTCCTGCTGCTTTCTGCTCCCTGAAAACAAACAAAGATAAGGAGAGCAAATGGCAGCGGGAGAGGAGCCGGACCTGACACCACACCTGATACCGCCCCTGACACCACACCTGACACCACACCTGACACCACACCTGACACCACAACTGACACAACTGACACCACAACTGACACCACACCGGCACCTACAGTCCAGACATGGCAGCCATCCCCACCCCTCCGATACCTGAAAATGTCCAACCTAGAATGACTCAGAATATGGAGGTAAATCCCCTCCGACCTCCCCTTCACTTTCTGGCTCATTTCCTGGCTGGAGGATGTCCAGCATCATTTAGCCCAGTGGTCTCCAAACTGTGGCCTGGGTGCCGAATGTGACCCTTTGCTTGCCTTTATCAGGCTCTTGAGGCACTGTTTGCCTTACTAATAGGCCACACTATTCCTCCCACTGACACCAATGATAGGGCACTATTCCTCCCACTGACACCAATGATAGGGGCACCATTCCTCCCACTGACACCAATGATAGGGCACCATTCCTCCCACTGACACCAATGATGGGGCACTATTCCTCCCACTGACACACCAATGATGGGGCACTATTCCTCCCACTGACACCAATGACGGGGCACTATTCCTCCCACTGACACCAATGGGGGGGGCACTATTCCTCCCACTGACACCAATGATGGGGCACTATTCCTCCCACTGACACCAATGATGGGGCACTATTCCTCCCACTGACACCAATGATGGGGCACTATTCCTCCCACTGACACCAATGATGGGGCTTATTCCTCCCACCGACATTCTTCCCCAATGATGGGACACTATTCCTCCCACTGACACCAATGATGGGGCACTATTCCTCCCCTGATACCAATGATGGGACACTATTCCTCCCACTGACACCAACAATGGGGCACTATTCCTCCCACTGACACCAATGATGGGGCACTATTCCTCCCACTGACACCAATGATGGGGCACTATTCCTCCCACTGACACCAATGATGGGGTACTATTCCTCCACTGACACCAATGATGGGGACACTATTCCTCCCACTGACACCAATGATGGGGCACTATTCCTCCCACTGACACCAATGATGGGGTACTATTCCTCCACTGACACCAATGATGGGACACTATTCCTCCCACTGACACCAATGATGGGGCACTATTCCTCCCACTGACACCAATGATGGGGCACTATTCCTCCCACTGATACCAATGATAATGATAAGGAATAGAACAGAATCAAATATAAAATAATAGAATAGAAAAATAAAAGAATAATATAGAATAAAACAGAAGAAAAAATAGAATAAAATAACAAGTAAAGGGATAGAATAGTTTAGCCGTCTTCTGAAAGTTGAATTTGAAATAAATTAGAAGCAGCTCCTCTTCACAATGAATTCTAAATCGATTCAACTACTTCTAATCCATTGGAAAAATTTGAATCCGGTCGAAAACAAAATAAACGAATTGATCCGAAACTAAATGATTTTTTTTCCCGATTTGCACGTGTCTAATCTACAGCACCCTGCCCCTCCCACCAGCCTGCATTGCATTGAGATGCACAGAGACCCAGTGATGACATCGTTGAATCTTGAATGAAGGTGTGTAATGAGGAGGGAGATGTTTATGTGTGGGAAATGTCTTCATTTGTAGATGGGGGGGGGGGGGGGGGTCCAAGGAAGCAATATAAGCAGGTTAATCCTCAGCTTTACACAACCAATAGGGACGGGGAGCCCCTTTCCTCTGCCCCCCATAGGCAGGTGCCTAGTGTGCCCGGCTGTACCTCCAGCCCTGCCCAGCAGTCAGAGTGTGTGAACACGCGTGTTATATTCATCCCGTGTGCAGGCACAGCAAGATCGTCCTATAAATCGCTTTATTGCCGGAGTGAGAATTGTAAATCCCAACAATGGAAACCTCGTAACAAATCTGCTGAGTGCGTCCTTCTACACAGAGATCATACCGACAGGTCAGAGGTCAGGGAGAGGGAGGGGGTAGAACTGGAGAGACCCCGGAACTCAGCACAGGGATGGTGGGAACCCCTCATAATGGGCACAGCGGGTGTACAGACCCGGGAACTCGGCACAGGGATGGTGGGAACCCCTCATAATGGGCACAGTGGGAGTACAGACCTGGGAACTCCGTGCAGGGCAGGTGGTAACCCCTCATAATGGGCACAGCGGGGTACAGACCCGGGAACTCAGTGCAGAGACGGTGGGAAACCCCTTATAATGGGCACACAGCGGGTGTACAGACCCGGGAACTCAGTGCAGAGACGGTGGGAACCCCTTATAATGGGCACAGCGGGTGTACAGACCCGGCAACTCAGCACAGGAATGGTGGGAACCCCTCATAATGGGCACAGTGGGTGTACAGACCCGGGAACTCGGCACAGGGATGGTGGGAACCCCTCATAATGGGCACAGCGGGTGTACAGACCTGGTAGCTCATCTGTTCTCCGATAGAATTTCTGTTCATTGCTGACAAAGCCCCTCTATGTCCCCCCATCCCCCACTATGCCCCCCTCCAGCCTCAGACTTTCTGCTCTAATACAAGCAGCAACTTGCCCTTCAGGAACCGACCAATAGGATTCCCCGATGGAGGAAATATCAGTACAGAAGGAATGGACTGGATTCATCTTACAGGTTGCGTACCAAATGGGGGGGGGGGGGGGGAAGGGGGGTGCGCACGTGGTGTTGTTGTTGACAACGCTATCACCAGGAACATCTCTGATTTCCCAGTGTCATGCAGACTTGGCACAATGACCTCCCAGCCCCCCCCCCCCCCCCCCCCATACTCAATTCACAATCTACGTCAGCGCGGGAAACTTAAAGGAGCACTCTGCTGAGCCGAAGGGGATTTCTGATCTCTGAGACCAAAAAAAAATCTCGTGGTTCTGGAAATGATCAGAAAAAAAAGTTTAACCCCTTCCAGTCCGGACACTTTCCCCCCCTTCCAATCCGGACACTTTCACCCCCCTTCCAGTCCGGACGCTTTCCCCCCCTTCCAGTCCGGACGCTTTCCCCCCCTTCCAGTCCGGACACTTTCCCCCCTTCCAGTCCGGACGCTTTCCCCCCCTTCCAGTCCGGACACTTTCACCCCCTTCCAGTCCGGACACTTTCCCCCCCTTCCAGTCCGGACACTTTTTCCCCCCCTTCCAGTCCGGACACTTTCCCCCCCTTCCAGTCCGGACACTTTCCCCCCCTTCCAGTCCAGACACTTTCCCCCCCTTCCGGTCCGGACACTTTCACCCCCTTCCGGTCCGGACACTTGCCCCCCTTCCGGTCCGGACACTTTCCCCCCTTCCGGTCCGGACGCTTTCCCCCCCTTCCAGTCCGGACGCTTTCCCCCCCTTCCAGTCCGGACACTTTCCCCCCCCTTCCAGTCCGGACGCTTTCACCCCCCTTCCAGTCCGGACGCTTTCCCCCCCTTCCAGTCCGGACACTTTCCCCCCCCCTTCCAATCCCGGACACTTTCACCCCCCTTCCAGTCCGGACGCTTTCCGGACCCCCCCTTCCAGTCCGGACACTTTCCCCCCCTTCCGGTCCGGACACTTTCCCCCCCTTCCGGTCCGGACACTTTCGGTCCGGACACTTTCCCCCCCTTCCGGTCCGGACACTTTCCCCCCCTTCCAGTCCAGACGCTTTCACCCCCTTCCAGTCCGGACCCTTTCCCCCCATTCCAGTCTGGACTCTTTCCCCCCCTTCCAGTCCAAACTCTTTCCCCCCCTTCCAGTCCCGGCGCTTTCCCCCCCTTCCAGTCTGGACGCTTTCACCCCCTTCCAGTCCGGACACTTTCACCCCCTTCCAGTCCGGACTCTTTCCCCCCTTCCAGTCCGGACACTTTCACACTTTCACACTTCCCCCCCAGGCCAATTTTCAGCTTTCAGCGCTATCACACTTTGAATGACAATTGCGCGGTCATGCAACACTGTATCCATATGAATTTTTTAGCATTTTTTTGAGACAGATAAAGCTTTATTTTGGTGGTAATTATTCACCGCTGGGATTTTTATATTTTTGCTATATAAATGAAAAATTCCAAAAAGTTTGAAAAAAAGTGTTTTTCTTATAAAATTTTGCAAATAAATAATCTTTCTTCATAAATCTTGGACAAAATGTATTCCGTTATCTTTTCAGTAAAAAAAAAAAAATAACCCAAATTAGTTTATAACCAAAAATTATAATTTTTATACTTTTTTTTACATTTTTATTTTATTTTTTTAGATTATTATTTATGTTTTTTTTTCTAAATACTGTCACCCTAGCAGTATAGTATCACCATGGTGACACTGTACTACTTGTGGGGGGTGATGGAGATTTTTTTTTTTTTTTACACTGATTGCTTTTACACCCATAAAGGCTGTAAAAGCAATCATTTCTCCTCCTCTCTGTGTGCATTCTTGCAGCCATTGAGAAATACTGCGTGAGCTGTGATTGGTCACATCTTGTCACATGGTAGAAGGGTGTTGTGAATAGCCTTGTACCATGTGATCTCTGTGATCATTCACAGATTTCACATGTAGTAAGCAATGATGTCAGAAGTGACATCTTGCTTACTACTATTCATGTGATCACTGATTGGCCAATCAGTGATCACATGATCGGGACCTCGCACAGAGGTCCCGTACGACGATTGGTGTTCGGACAAAGCAGGCTGCGCATTCCTAGGGAGCGGGCACAAGCAGGGAGCGGGGGAGGACGTTTACATACATGGGCCAGACGGGAAGTGGTTAAAATGTATCCAAACCCAAGAAAATCCAACAAAAAATTTAGCAAATTTCATCTAATCAAGCCTTAGATGTGGCGGCTGCGTTAGTTTTCTATTTTTTCTCCTTTATTTTCACCCAGTGATCCTGCCAGTAA